AATACATCATGCTGGCAAATGGCAACTACTGTGGAGAAATGACTTGTTAAAAGGAAGGGGATGCCAGGAGGTAGTGGCATATGCCTTTAAGCGCAGTGCTTAGGAGGCAGAGGCAGGGAGATTTCTGAGAGTTTGAGGCCAGCCTGGTCTGCAAATGAGCTCCAGCCAGGATTGTTACACAGAGAAATGCTGCACTGAAAAACCTACATAGATAGATAGATAGATAGATAGATAGATAGATAGATAGATAGATAGATAGATAGATAGATAGACAGACAGACAAATTGAAGGAAGGGTATTTGGGTTTCTAGGGTCAATAGATTGTGACTAGTCACTAGTAACCAGAGCACCCATTAAGTAAGGGCAGTCATTGGAAAATCAGGTTTTTCCGGGAAGGTGTGCTCATGCACTCACACGTGTTGATTCCTGGTAGCACAGCACAAGGGAGACTTTCACACCCTTAACACACAGGATGCATGCCTGGCTGTCAGTCAGGAGAGGGGACGGACAACAGAGACTTTTTCTTGATTCTGTTGTTGATTCTCCATTGCCTTCATCTCAAAAGGACATTTATGCTAAGTGGCACATTCTGGGGTGGCCGATGCTGAAACTGAGAAGCACCCAGAGCATTAAGCCTGACATGGACACTATGGTGCAAACAAGGTGTTGGTGAGGCCAACTGTCTCCATCTCCTCCGAGACTTTCCATGGCACTTTAGGGTGGAGGGTGATCCCTTCCAGTCATGCAGAATTCCCCGTGAGCACTTGGAGAGAAAGAGTCAGTGGGCAGATACCCCCGGTGTTAATGCTGAGTCCGCAGCTCGAGGGAGGGAGGGAGGCGGTGCTTATCAGAGATCTAGGTAGCATCTGCTCCTGTTCTCAGCCCAGTCTAGAGTCTGTGAGGTTGTCATCCATCCTTGGTAAGGCCAGCAGCAGTCACGTTGGGAAGAAAAATGAAACGGAATTTCGAATATCCCAGTGTGGCAAATAAGAGGAGCCACAGAGTTTAAACCCCAGCAGGAAACTTTATGCAATTACCAGGGAAGTTGCTGCTGCTGGGAAAGAAAATACCATTTCCTTTTCAGGGGTGATTCATGCTTGTGTTCTAGGGGCCCCTGTGTTATGTCTTGGACATTTTCCTTACCCAAGAATTGCTTGTCTTTGCCCTAGAGGCTCCTTCCTGAAAGTCAGCTGATTCCCCGTACCTGGGAATGTTCTAGGTGACCACTGCCTCCCTCCCTCAAAGCTTTATAAACATGGGGCTAGGGACGTGTCTGAGATGGTAGAGTACGTGTCTGGTATCACAAAGCCCTGGGTTCCATCCTCAGGATCCCATAAACCAGCGCATGCTTACCCATCCCAGCGCTGGGGAGGTGGAGGCAGGAGAATCAAATGTTCAAGATTACTCTTGGCTACACAGTGAGTTCAAAGGAAGCCAGGCTACAGGAGACGCCGTGTCTGTCTGCCTGTCTGTCTGTCTGAAAGTACATGCAGTGAATGGAGTTCTAAAGTGATTTTTAAATCAACTCAAGCCGCGGTTGGACACTTGAGAGTTTAATCATTCCCAGACAGAAGAGCCTCTTGAAGGCGTGACAGGAAGTTTGTTTCAACTGTGCTTCACTGTGCTCCCTTGGCCATCCTGGTTCCAAGGACCTTTGAGCTTGCAAGTGGACGTGCGTGACTCTGGCCTAACTGGGTGGATGGCCAGTAAAGCCTCCAGTGTTCTGAGAGCATTTGAAACCCTTGATGCCCTTCTACAGTGTCTGCATTAACTTGCAGGTGCGAGTGTTCTGAAAGCCCAGATTTTGTAGGAAATTTTTGTTTTCTTTTTAAGTTTTTGAGTTAGTACGGTTTTTTTTTCCATCTGAAATTCAGTTTAATTTACCATCTTTTATGTTACCTGCCAAATATTACAAGCATTGGCAGTCTCTGCTTTTGGAAACCCATGTTCACACGGGATAGGAAGAGTGGGTATTCACTAGACACTCCCTGTTTCCCTTCTGAAGAGGACTGCCATCAAGATAGGTACTGCTGAATGAAAAGTTGAAATGACCACCATTGTTCATCTTCAGTATTAATTTCTATGAAAATTTTGTTCTGGGGATGGGACAGAGCTCTGCTGGTAGAATGTATACCTAGCATGCGCAAAGGCCTGGATTCCATCCGTAACCAAGAGCAGGGTGTGGTGCTGCATGCCTGTAAGCCCAGCACTAGGGAGGTAGAAGCAGGGGGGTCAGAAGTTCAAGGTCATATTTGACTAAATAGCAACTTTCAGTCAAGCTGGGCTTTATGAGCCCCAGTATGGAAAAAAAACCAAAAACATGCCTTCAATCTCAGTACCCAAAAAGCAGATCTCTGTGAGGTCAAATTCTAGGACATCCTGGTCTACATAGCAAGATCCAGGCTTATAACCTTTTTATGAGCACCCCCACCCCACAAAAAAAAAGATTATATTGATGTTTTCTTTTTTCTCTCAAATCTGGTGAAAACTTCTAGAGCATCATCTTTACATTTTAGACCATGGAACACAATCGTATTGTTGGACCCTTGCAGGGAAAGCTGTTGGACCACGGAACTTCACACTCCTTTCAGCGTGCTCCTTTTCCTGTACCTCTGTGTTTCTGCTCCTCACAGGGCCATCAGGGGAAGGCTGTTCCAGACAGGCGAGGAGGCAGCCTTCCAAGGCAGGCCCACCAACCCACGTTCTGCAGGGGCCCTGGGCTCACAGGCACTGCAGGGTTCATTGAAATAGTGTTTTCTGAAAAGTGGGCTGTCAAGTCACGGGATTCAGAGGCTGAGGGAAGGGTGGGGATTGGCTCTGCCTTTGTTGTTGTTGTTGTTGTTTTCTTTTTTGAAGAAAACGGTGTTCCATTAGCTCTTAGTGTATTGTTGAAATATCTGGTCAAGGTAAACCAGGTGTATTAGGTAATTCCTCTCTGAGTCCTGTAAAAAAAACATTATGTTTGTCTATCCTTTCTTTAAAGATACTTCTTTTCCGTAAAAATCTTTTCTGTAACGTCCAGGCCACACAACAAGCACAGAGAAACAGCCTTCCAGGGACAGTCAAAGGCATTAGTGAAAGGGCATTGAAAATACTCAACGTGTGGAGACGAATCATGGTTTTATTTTAGAATTATATGTAATTAATAATGATGGCAGTGAGAAGAGGTAAAGGAAAAAGGGTTTGATTATACTGAAAATATCGATGAGGACCATGAAAAAGGGGACCGCAGGAAGTCAGAAGCAAGAAAGGTCTTCCTAAGCTGGGAGCATGGCACAGGTAAAGGGCATGCCATGTAAACTTGAGGACCTGAGTTCAAACCTCCAAAATCCATGTGAAAAAGCTGTGAGTGATAGCACTGCCTTATGATTCCAGCCTTGCAGAGGCAGAGACAGGAGGATGTCCTAGAGCTCACTGGCGAGCCAGCCTATTCCAATTAGTGATTGGGTCCCAGTAAGAGACCCTGTGTCAAAACCAAAGACGGACAGCTCCTCAAGCTTGACTTCTGACCTCGACATGCATGCACATATATGTGTGCCTGAATATACATAAACACACACACACACACACACACACACACACACACACACACACACACACACACACGAGGGGGGCCCTCAGGGAACCCCAGTTCATGACCAGTTGTCCCGTTGCTTTGGGGATGATTGACAGCTAGCTAATCAAGGTGGGAACACAGGACAGAGCAAAACTTGTCACTACCTGGAAGTCCCACCACCCTCCAGGGCATGAGATTAGCAAGCAAGGCACAAAGCGAGATTCTCTTGTCCCTAGGGTGCTCACATCAGTGCTCTTCCTGGCTGCATCTCACTAGAAAGGGGATGGGATGCGGCAAAGAGTTGGGACACAGAATCAACTGGGTCAGATGGGAGCCCTAGTTCAGGCCTCTCCGATAGCCAGTGTGTGCATCCGTCTTGTCTGTCTTGAATCTCTGTCTGTAAAATGACAGATATGATATTATACTATGGGAAGTGTGTTAAATGTCTTGCAAGATATACTGACATGAACCCAGTTTTCTTCTTTGCACCAGAGATCAGGTGATCTCGGCTGCAGCAGTACGAATATTCTCCTTTCTCATATTCTAGTCCCCTTACTATCTTTGCCCCCACCCCACCCCTCATTTGTATGTGTGTGTGTGTGTGTGTGTGTGTGTGTGTGTGTGTGTGTGTGTGTGCTCCAATGGATTTCATTCAAGGTTGCTTACAGGAGCTTGGGCATGTTGCCAATGGCTACATCACCTCCTTCACTGATAGATTCTCAAGGTGGGGGTAGGAAATACGGACAGACCCAATTCTGTGCATGTCTTATGCAGGTAAACTTAGTGGCTGTAAGTTCATGAGTCCAACAGTCATGTCATGCCTGGAAGACAGCATTGCACAACCCTCCACCCCTGCCTGCAGCTCTCTCCTTCCTTGATGTTCCCTGAGCCTTAGAAGTGATGCAGATGCCCTGTTCAGAGCTGAGCACTCTGTTATTCTCAGCACGTGGGCCAGTTCTGAGTCTCTGTAGGAACTGTTACCTACTGCAGGAAGAAGTTTCTCTGACCTAAGTTGACAATAGCACTAACCTATGAGCACAGGCTTAAATATCTAAAAGGCAGTTTGACAGCCTTTGTCTTTCTTTAGAGCAGGTGTTCTCAACCTGTGGGTCTCGACCCCTCTGACAAACCTTTATCTCCAAAAATATTTACAATATAATTCATGTCAAGAGCAAAATTACAGTTATGAAGCAGCAATGAAAATAACTTTGTGGTTTCGTGTCACCGCAGCGTGAGGAACTGTGATAAAGGGTTGCTGCATTAGGAAGGTTGAGAACCACTGCTTTAGAGGGTGGATGTGAAGATAAGGGCCCTTGACATCACATGGGGCCCTGCTGATTTTGATGGATGGAAACCCCCGTGCAGAGCCTGCAGGATAAGCTGCATAGGTCACAGCCATGTTTGTTGGGGCAGCTGACTGACCCCATGTGTCATTTTCTTGCAGGTGGACTTGGGTCTCCTGCGGTACGTCACTGCTGTCGGGACACAGGGTGCCATTTCCAAGGAAACCAAGAAGAAATATTACGTCAAGACTTACCGAGTAGACATCAGCTCCAATGGAGAGGACTGGATCACCCTGAAAGAGGGAAATAAGGCCATGGTGAGTCTGGCTCCTGCCCCTCCCGCCCCTCCCCCTCCCCCACAAAAGCCTTTCACATGCGCGATCAATTTTTATTTGTTTGCATGGGGATTTTTCCGTCAGGCCTGGTTTATTTTTTGAATTGATTTAAAATGAAAAGTGCAATTAGAGGTTTAAATCTGACCAAAGGGTCTCATGTTCCCAGATCCAAAGGCCAAGAGGAAATTACACAGATGTTACTTAAAGACAGCAGACACACCAGCCAAACTCAATGACAAACTTGAGACTCCCCTTCAGGCCCCCTCCCCCCAGGGACAGACAATGCACAGCCTAACACTGCCCACCTTAGGGGTTCCTGGTACTTGTTTGGCTTTGTTTATTTGGGGGTTTTCCTTGTGTTTCTTCATTCTTTCATAGACCTTTTTCCTCTCCATAATGGGCTAGCACTCTTTCATCCATCCTTGGCGCTCACAAACTCATTGACAAGTGCAGTTGGCTGTGACTTGTCAGAACAGGAGAACCGTGGGCTTTTCCATGTATTCTTTCAGATCACACAGTTAGCATGCTCCCTCCCCGCTTGAAGCTTCGACCTGTGGGGCAGCTGGGTCCAGCCTCAGGGCATTTGCTCTGCCCTCTGTCATTTAGGAACTGAGATCACTTTTTCAGCCAGCCTGCTTATTTGAAGTCATACTTGCTCTGATTTATTAATCAAAAGATTTTTGAGAATTCATATTTGATGTTACCCAAAATCAAAAGCCTGAGGGGCTGGAGAGATACTCAGCCAGTAAATTGCTTACCACAGAAGCATGAGGACCTGAGTTCCATCTCCAGAACCCATGTTTTAAATCTATATAAGCACACACACATACACATGCCAGTGAGATGCCTCAGAGGGTAAAGGTGCTCACTAATAAACCTGACAACCCAGATTCCATTCCTGGAACCCACACAGTAGAAGTAGAGAACCAATTTTCATGAGTTCCACACATGTACCATGGCATGTCCCTACACATAATAAATAAATGAATGTTTTTAAAAAAATGTCAGCGAGTTGGTGTGGAATGTGCTTGCCACCCCAGCCCTGGGAAGTTGAAACAGGAGGATCCCTAAGACTCATTGGCAGACCAGTAAGAAATCCTGTCTCAAAAAATTAGTTGTGTGCCAGGTGGTGATGTTGCACGCCTTTAATCCCAGCACTTGGGAGGCAGAGGCAGGCAGATCTCTGTGAGTTCGAGGCCAGCCTGGTCTACAAAGTGAGTTCCAGGGCAGGCACCAAAACTACACAGAGGAACCCTGTCTCGAAAAACCAAAATCAAAACAAACAAAAAACTAGTTGTGTTAGCACTGTCTGAGAAATGTCACCTGAGGTTGCTCCCTGTCCTACACACACACACACACACACACACACACACACACACACGGAGGCCAGTTCAGTTCACATGCCCTCAGCTCACCTTTAAACACCCATGGCTTGGCTAGCACTGAGAAAAGCCTCTGCAGTATGAAGTAAAAGACAGTCATAGACTCCCTTGATCAGCCGCAACATCCCTCTCTCATGGAGGGCAGGCAAGACGGAGGCAGGTGTTAGGGGACAGCCGTTCTGTGGGAAGAGAGTTCCTTGGAAGCTTCTGTGGACAGTACAAGGGCTATCAAAGGTGGAGAACATAGAACCCTTGCTCCACCTGTAAAAGAAAATCCCTCATGGCCCTATGGAGAAGACACAAGGCAGTAATGCCCTAGGTTTTATGACTTCCAGTTACGGAGAACCAACAGGCCTACCTACACAAGCGTCCCGAGCAGGAGGCTGAGAGGATACAGGAGGATGCAGCGGGGATGAGACTGGGCATATGGGGTCTTCACTGACCAAAATGATGCTGGAGCACCAGCTGACATCTAGTCCTGCAGACCTTCCCATTTCTTCTGGACATAGATCTCACCTGAGATCTTGTCTGTCTCGATTTCATTTGCTGGACCGTGGCAAGGTCAGAATCCAATCCTAGCCTGCCCTGACAGTCCTCATCCTTTGGACGGAACGTGAACTTGTATGCCTTTCAACAGTTGGTGGGAAACTCTCAGTGTTAGCAGAATGACCTACCCCTGTCTGTGCAAACCCTGTGCAGTGGGTAGACACCCACCCCCACTCTGTGCAAACCCCAGTCAGCCAACTCTGATCCCTCTAGGAGAACTAAATAGGCCCCTAAGAACAGCATTATTTGAAATGCTACTACTTACGGAAGCTTCTCATTACTTTTGCCACATGAAAATGTACCCATTCGGGTTGTTTCCCAGAGGAAGTTGCTGAAGTAGAAGCCAAGTACAGGGGGCATTTTGGTGTTTGCTGAAGAGGAGGAGCATTGGGTCACACAAACCCAAGGAAGCAAAAGTCCCAGTCAGATGACATTGGTGTGCCCTTTCTCTGGAGGGAAGAGCAAAGCTCAGGGAGCTGCAGGCACTCACTGGAAGATGGGGAGAGTCTCCATGCCCTGAAGGAAGGCTCTGATTATAATACCTGAGAGATGATGGGGGGTCACAGTGATGCATCCACTACCATGGAGAACTGCTGGGTTTATTATTTTATTTGAAGGGGGTGGACTTATGAAACAGGGTCCCCCTGCCTGTCCTGGAACTCTCTGTGTAGACCAGGCTGGCCTTGAACTCACAGAGATCCGCCTGTCTCTTCCTCCTGAATGCTGAGATCAAAGGTGTGCGCCGCCGCCACTGACACACACACACACACACACACACACACACACACATACACACACACGTGTAAATATCGCTGCTTTTACAAGGCCATCCTCACCCATAACTGACCTACAAATCTAGAAAGCAGAGACATCCGCTCTGAGGGAAGGCTGGTGCCAGAATGTTCCATGATGGCGTACAGAGATCCTGTAAACAACACCACCCACCACCGCATTCCGTATAGTCCCAAAGGACGTTTGCAGACACCTAGTTTATACTGGGCCCTCCTTGCCTTTGTGGCCACATGCCTCATTGTTCTTCGAATCGAAGGACACATTTGTACCTAGAAGCAGAAGACTGGAAATTTTCCGTTAAATATCATTTATTATTTAGTTTTGCCTCTGACCACTGAAGCATAATTCTACCAATAACTCCAAAGTATTAAAATCACTGATGCATGACTAAGAACATTTACCAAGGGACCAAATAAGCAAGGAAGGCAGGAAGCTGGGGATGTGGCTCAGTGGCTGGAGTGCTTGTCTCATGCACACAAAGCCCTGGTATTGATCATGAACACCTCTAAACCAGGCACATGGTACCTACCTGAAACCCCCACACTTGAGAGGTAGAAGCAGAAAGATGAGGAGTTTAAGGTCTCCTTCAGCTACCTGGTGGATTCAAGGCTGGCCAGGAATACATGCAACAAGGTCTACAAAAAGAAGGAAGGGGAAGGGGAGGAAGGTACTCGGCTTAGGGCAGTATCTGAGGACATGAGCTAGAACTTTAAAAAGCCAGACCTGCCAGCACTCAAAGAGCCTTTCTTCTGGGAGTCGCTGGGGAGGGGAGATAGTGAGAGTCCCCGAGGAACATGTGAGGCTTGGCTCTTCCGGTAAAGCTAACTGCTTCTCACTTTTAAAGATGACGGCATGTGTCCTTTAAGAAATGTCATGCTTGTGACAGTGCTTTTAGAGGCTGTAGCCTCTCAAGCAAGGATATATGGCTACAGCGGCATTCTGCACTGGACAGGGTTCTCTTTGATTACAGTTATTTGGGAAAATAACATGACAGCTTGCTAATGGCACACCAACCTTGGTCGAAAATGCTAGAGCTGCTAACAGTTTCTGCAAGCATTCGTGGAAAGTTTCTGGGATTTGTTTCAAACACAGTTAGTTTGTTAACGCCCTCTCTCTCCCATCTAGATCTTTCAGGGAAACACCAACCCCACAGATGTTGTCTTGGGAGTTTTCCCCAAACCCCTGATAACTCGGTTTGTCCGGATCAAACCTGCGTCCTGGGAAACTGGCATATCTATGAGATTTGAAGTTTATGGCTGCAAGATAACAGGTAAGTGCCAACATGGAAGTTGCCCCCTCTTGAGTGAATGCAAATTTTTTCCATTCAAGGAGAATTTGTTCATATGTGCAAATATGAAGGCGATCTATTCATATTTATTTGGTAGTTAAGGTCTGTACTAGTTACTCTTTTCGTTAGTATGACAAAATACCTAACAAGAAGGAACTGAAGGGAGAAGGATTGGCTTGCAGTTCATGTGGATACAGTCCACCATGGGAGGGAGGTGTGGCGGCAGGAGCGTGAGGCAGCTGATTATGTTACATCCAAGTTGGGAAGCAGAGAAGAAACAAGAAACGGCATGTAATAAAAAAAAAAAAAACCTCAAGGTCAGCACACACCTTTAATCCCAGCACTCAAGAGGCCGAGGCAGGTGGATCTCTGTGAGTTCGAGAACATTTGGGACTATTACCCAGAGCTTCAAAACAAAACAAAACAAACAGAAAGAACCTCAAGGTCTGCCCCCAGTGACTCACTTTGTCCAGTGAGGTGCTACCTCCTAAAAATTTCACAACCTTTCCAAAAAGTTCCAGCATCTAGATATGAAGTGTTCCAATACATGAGCCCATGGGGACATTTTGCATTCAAGCCACAAGAGCCTGGACACTGGATGTACACGTGTCTGAATTCAAGTTCCACCTTAACTCGTTAGCCATTTGTGATTCATTTAAGAGTTTCCCAGGCCTGGTTTTTCTCCCCTGCACAACTGCCACAGTTCTGAGCACACACAGGCTACTCCTCGTGGCAGGTCGGGAGGTGAACATGAGCATTTAGTGTAGCGTGTCAAATGGCAGGGATTCTGTCAGTGTCCTGCTTTCCACCAAATGCAAGCTCTGAGAAGACAGCTCACCGGCATGGCCCTCTGCTTGTTAGGTGGGCAGCATGCTGACTGTTATTGTTGGGTCCTAAAAAACAACTGCTCCATGGAAGGCTCCAGACCGGCTTTCTCTCTGCAGTTTTGAAATCCAGAGGTGGCTTAATCAGCTGCGCTTGAAGGAGTTTGCCTCTGACAAGGGCAGCTTTCGCTCCCTAAGCAGCCTGGCAACTCCGCCATGGATTTTTATCTCTGTTTTGTTACCTCTGTGTGTGTATGTTTTGCCCTGGTGGTATTGGGGATTGAACCTGGGCCTCACACATGGTAGGCAAGCACTCTACCACAGTAGGAACTGCATCACCAATTCCTTTTTTGGGTTTTTTTTTTTTTTTTTTTTTTTTGGTTTTTTTCCAAGACAGGGTTTCTCTGTGTAGTTTTGGTGCCTCTCCTGGATCTCGCTCTGTAGCCCAGGCTGGCCTCAAACTCACAGAGATCTGCCTGGCTCTGCCTCCCGAGTGCTGGGATTAAAGGTGTGTGCCACCGACACCCAGCTGCATCACCAATTCTTAACTGGACATTCTAAAAGTAGAAGTCAAGTTGTGACAGTTTTTGGTTTTTCAGTTTGTTCTTCAAACAGTACTTAAGGAATCTGTTAACTTGAAACAAGAGGCTATTCCTACTTGAGGGATGAAAATGATGAGGTACACTTAGTCCTGTTACATGTCTGAGAGAGGGTCACCAGGTGACTGGAAGTCAAGGTGTGTCCAGCAATGAGTCCCTGGACTCGAAGCCCCGAGGCTTCTGGAACGGTCCTTACTGGGGGCTGATCCTGTGTTCTGATGTAACAGCAGTCACGCTCCAACCCTCTTCCATGTAAGTAGATATGTTACAGAGCTTTCAGTTAAAAGCAGCAACAGCACACATGTAATCTTCATATCTTAAAAACTGAAAAACATGGGAGTGGGAGAAATGGCCCAGTGGTTAATAGCACCCACTGCTCTTCCAGAGGACCCAGGTTCAATTCCCAGCACTCACATGACAGCTCACACCTGTCTATAACCCCAGTTCCAGGGGATCCCATGCCCTCTTTCCGGCCTCTGTGGACACCAGGCTTTCCTGTGGTGCAATACATACACGAAGCAAACACTCATAAAATAAAAATAAATTTGTTTTAAAAGATTGAAACACAGACTCTGAGGCTGATTCACTAAGAAGGTAATTAAAAAGTCCACAACTTTTGGTCTCTTGTGAACCATTGTATTCTGGTCTCTTAGAACATTTCATTTCCCAATGTATGCTTTGTCTGCTGAGTCTGATAATTTCTAAAGAAGGAAGAAAAGTGACTTTTGAAAGCAAAGCATCCCCTGGGACTTTCCCATAAGAGTGGAGGTGCTGTGTTGAGAAGCTAATTCATGAAAGATCTGTGGAAAAGTCCATTTTGGAATGGAAAGCCCAGACCTGATGTCTTACCCAGGTTTTACTTGTTTCCATGGTGGACACAGACTTGTTTATGGTAGGAGGATCTAAGACTTATGAAGTTCAAGGCCTTGGAGGCAGCAGCTGGGTGCAGGGGCATTTGGAAGAGAGAAGGACACTGAAAACTCAGATGTGACCTTGTTTTTGTTTTTGATAATAGTTAACTAACAGAAAGTTCTTGGGGACTTTAGAGGATTACTAATTTAGGAGTCTACCCATAAATTCATAGGAACAAGGCCACATAAGGTCTGGGTGGGAATTTCTGGTCCATTTCTCCAACCTGATTTCATGTCACTACACCAGAATTTTATATAGAAGCAAACTTAATAAAGACTCCAAATTAGTCTGAACTCTGAACTCTGACTGTCCAGTCTCTTAAGATTTATGGTATGTCCTTTTGGTTAAATAAAATATTTATTTGAACTTAAATTATCCTTTTTATTTTCATAAGGACATCCCAAGAGGTAATTCTAGGAATGTGAACAAAAAAAGAAAGTAATTTATTGGATTTAAAAAAATAGTTAAATAGCCTGTTTATTTAAACAGTATCTAAAGTAGTTTGTTCTAATGTTTTAAACACAGCCTATTTGTGATTTTTAACTACATAGTTGGGTTTTGCTTTGTTTTGTTTTCTCTCTAGTGAAATGACAATTTCCAAGAAATTGACCTTGGCAGGTTTTTGGAGAGGGCAGTATGTGACCATCATGGTCACACAGCCAGAAAGGCCAGGCCTGGCTCAGGACTGTCCACTTAGTGAATGGCTGACTGCAGCCAAGACCTTTTGCATCTCAGATGTACATTTCCTGGTCTGTTAGTGCCTTAATGAACTGTGATGAGTATTAAATGAAAGAATATTTATAATGTACTTGGCTTAATGTGAAGTGCTCATTAAATGCCCCCACACAATAAGGCAAACATGCTACCTACTAAACTGGATGCAGGATAAGCCGCAGGTAGAGCCCGCAATGAGATAATCGCTCAGAAGCGTCTCCTTCGTTTCGAGGCCCTGGCCCTCTGCAAGTGCAGACTGATGAAAGAGTAGGTCCGCCGTGTCCTGTTGGACTAGACAATGCAGGGGAGTAGAGCCTGATCACCACGGTTTCTCTTTACCCACTAGGCTTGGAGCACCATAAGTGTGCCGTGGTTATTTCTGGATGAAGGAGTTCCACTTCTCATGCCTTCTGACAAACAAGCAACCTTGAATTTTCACCCTCTCTTTATGAGTAGGCAAGTCCTAATTTAATCTGATTATTTAAAGAAACAAGCAAATTTAAAATCCTTGGGACGTAAGGCATCACTTCCTTGACTTCCAAAGCCTCTAGAGTCCCACATTTGAACCTAGGTTTTACATTCAGAAATTCTTTAGAAATACAGCTATCCCCAAGATCCAGAGAATATGGTGACGTGTTACCCAGAAAGAGACACACAAGGGTGACACATCCTGCTTTACGGGTGATTGAGGAAGGAATGTTTTCCTTGTTTCTTTAAAGAGGGCTGCATCATTTTGGTAAAGGAGGGGATTGGGAAGATGACATTGGGGGACTTCTGTCAGGCTGTGAGAGCCAGCCTGTGCTCTGCTCTGTGGTGTTCTATTCCCAGTCATATGCTCCTGTCAATCGCAGATGAGGGTGACCTTTCCAGACACCACAACACCCTTAGGAAACTTCCCAAGCCATCAGGGGAAGACCGCATGGTGCCCATCGAGAGTTACTGTCATACTTCACTGTTCCTTTCTCAATCTTTGAAAGCTTATTACTTGGACGTGCTCTGTTTCTCTTTGAAGGTCAAGCACAGAGATCTTACAGTCAATTAGTATCACTAATGATTGCCACATCCAACCTCTCCCCATAACATCATGCACTTGACTCTTTCATCCAAGATTGACTTTAAGGTTTCCAAAAAACAGTGTTGCCAAGCAAAATACCAACTCCCCAGTGAGCTTGATGTGGCTAAAAAACGTTAATTGTTAGTGTACATATCTCCCATTGCAGTTTTGGGTACACTAAGGATTAGTCATTGTTCTCTGCAATTCCAGTCCAGCTGGATATCCTATTTCTTGTTCTGTTGTTTATTTGCTTATTAAATCTAACAACATGGGCAAACGTTCATCTAAACCTGCCTGCCAAGGAAACCCTGCTATAAACTAGCATCCCATTCAAACCTTGAAATAATTGCTAATATGATTTCTTCCTCATCATCGTTAAAAGTGAATTACGGGCTAGGCTGAGGAAATGGCTCCATCAGTAAAGCATTTGCCTTGCAAGCATGAGGACCTGAGTTCAAACCCCAGAACCCATGTAAAAAGCCATGCATGGTAGCATTATAATCCAGAGCTGGAATGGTGAAGAGGAGGTTCCCTGCTGCTTGCTGACCAGACAGTCTGGCCTAACTGGCTACCCCCTAGGCCTTGTCTCAAAAAAACGTCATGGAAAGTACAGGAAGATGTCCTTTGTCCCTCAGACACATGCCCACACAAGCACAGTATAAGTCTTACGGTTTTCAGTCAAGGTTCTCTTTGCTGTTTTTCAGAAGGGACGTTCACAGAGACGTGGTGGGGACTGGCTAAACACTCTGACTGCTGGTGCTGTGTGGGCTGGGTATCACCAGGTGTGGGAAAGAAACAGCCCAGAAGCTCTGTAACAGAAAGGGCGTTCAGCTAGTGGAGGCTGCTCCGCTCATAGAGTCCAAGTTTATTGTGTTTTTCTAAAAGGCTGGCATCTGGCTCCCTCTGCCAGCTGAGCATCACCTTTATAAGGAAGCTGGTTGAAAGTCAGGCAGGTGTGACCACGGTAGCCAAGAAATTGGACTTCTATTTTTAACACGAGTTTCATAGTTCTTCAGTAAAATGGGTTTTGTAAATCTTTTTTTTTTTAATCCCCATTAGTTTATTCTTGGTTTCCAGATCCCACCCAGAGCAAGTAGCCAGGCTGAGTTACAGGAAGGCATCCTGAGAAACGACAGCTGCTTCTGACTGTTGTAATACGTTGATTCATTCAGCAAGTATTTGTTGAGGATGACAGTGTACAAAAACAGGCTCAGCATGTCTCAGAAAACAGAAAAATATGACTTGTTTCATACCCTCAATAAAATTAAGATCTGGCTTTGGTCTGTGACTCAGTTGTTGGTATGTTTGCCCAGCACATAGGAATCCCTGTGCTCTGAACCCAGCACTGCAGAGGCCGCCAGGCAGTGCACTCTTGAAACCCCAGTATTTAGGCAGGGGCAGAAGAGTCTGGAGTTCAAGGTCATTCTCAGCTACATAGTGAATTCAGGCCAGCCTGGAACATGAGATCTTGCCCAAAAAAAAAAAACAAAATAGAAAGAAAGGGAAGAAAAAAAAGGAGGGAACATGAAACTTGAGCTAGCAAAAAGCAGTTATCCAAAAGAGTGAATAAGATTGTCAATACAAGAAAAATATGCATCAAGTATCATAAGGCATCCCAGAAAAAGAAAACCCTATCCAATTGCAGACTGAAAATATTGACTAAGTTAAATAATATTTGAAGATGAGTCGATATTTCCCACAGATTAAATGGTGGGAAGAGCAAGATGATAGGAAGGTCTGGCAGAGACAATGAATGGGAGAAAGCCCCACCTCCACCCAGGGAGGAAGTGTTTCTTCTCTAGGATCAGTGAATGTACAAGTGAGGAGCTGGGATGTGTGATATTCAAGGCCCTGCTTGCAAGCCCTAGTGTGTGAATGAAAACTCGGCATCAGAACTGTACAATTTTGTGAGGAGACGTGCTGACTGACTCATGCTTAAGGTCAACCCGGGAGCCTCACTTAGAATGGTTAAACTTTCAGATTGCAATTTATCACAGTGTGTGGAATGGAATTGTTTCAAAGGAAAAGAGGTTGTCACTCCTGTATGTCCCTAATTGAGCTGTATGATTTTGCAAGGAGGGTAACTGACATCAGTTATTTACTAAGCAGCCAGTCAGTCAATCAATGATGGGTACTCCCCTGTTGCTTAAAGCTCAAACTGCTACAGAAGATGTGAAGAGGTCCATATGTACTTCATTGCTCTTGGGGATTTTACAGTCTATCTATGATTACAGGACTTGTAAACCTATCCACAGCACGGCTCTGCCCTAGCTCGGACACTTCCTGCCTGGGTCATCACATGCCCAGGAGGGGGGTCCTCCCAAGATGGCTCAAGTTTCCATAACTCTTGAGCTGCACCTTGATGTTTGCACGGTCTGTGTCTCTGAGATCAGGAGAGAGGAGGCTGAAGGTCTTGACCAAAGGCAGCCATAGGAAATCTGTCTATGGGATGTGAGAGAGAATTGGTAACTAGCATATATTGTCAGTAACTGGATATATTGGATAGCTGATATGAAACCAAAATGAGATTCGTGTGTGTGTGGCACGGATTCACGGGGTGTTTGAGTTCATGGGAGGTGTGCATGTGGGGAGAGCACATGCAGATGTGTGGCAGCCCCAGGCAACCTCTGTTGGCAGTCCACAAGTGCAGCCCGCTTGTATGTGTTTGTTTCTTTGTTTTTGAGACAGTCTCTCACTGGGATTGGGAGCTCACCAATTCATCGAGGCTGGCTGGCCAGTGAGGGTCAGGGATCTGCCTGTCTCTGCCTCCCCAGGGCTGGGTTGCAAGTTTCAGCTGCCATGTAAAAAACATGGAAATCGGAGATCCAACTGAGCTAACTCCCCAACACCCAGAGTGTGATTCTTAAGACCTAGATAGAAAATATTGTTCTTTTCCTTGAAATAGTAGAGAGCTAGGACAGAGGCGAGCTTTAGTGTCAGGTTCAAGAGTCACTTGTGGGATGACAGCAGAGGCTGTCCTGGGGCCGCCACACATATGCAGGTTGATTTTAAAAGGCAGATCCAGGCAAACCTCTGTAAATTCCAAGCTGGCCAGAGTTACACGATGAGGCCCTGTCTCAAAAAAGGGGGATGGGGGGAGCAATTGATAATGTAGCTCAGTTAGCAGTGTGCTTGCCTACCATGCACCAAGCTCTGGTTCAATCCGTAAGAGCACAGGCATTGAACATAGTGGCTCATACATACCTATAATCCCAGCATTCAAGTGGTGCAGGCAGGAGGATCAGAAGTTCAAGGTCATCTTTCATCTCAGCTACTCATTTCAAGCCTATATTAGACCTTATCATTAAAAAAAAAAAATAGGCCGGGCGGTGGTGGCGCATGCCTTTAATTCCAGCCCTTGGGAGGCAGAACCAGGCGGATCTCTGTGAGTTCAAGGCCAGCCTGGTCTACAGAGTGAGTTCCAGGAAAGGCACAAAGTTGTACAAAGAAACCCTGTCTCGAAAAAGCAAAATATAAAAAAAAAAAAAAAATAGATCCTGAAGACAGTTGATGGTTGATGGAAAGGATAAAATGGCACCGTCCTTGTCATTGGACATGGAGCTCCCTGGACCTCATCTGCCTTCTCCATGCTAAGCCAAGCTCTTCCTTTGTTGCTTCAGCAGTTTCTTGTTTGGGGGAATATATTTCTTTAAGTATCTCCAACCCACCATGAACTGGGACTGGTAGGCAGCACTTCCTGAAACTGGAGCAACTTCTAGGAACAAAAGAGCGTAGAACCTTAGCTTGACATTAAATTTAGGATAACTGAAAAGGCGGAAGGGCAGGGGTGGTAGTGATGCTCTGGATGAAGATCTTCACAGGAATGTGAGTCTGAGGAGAGGATACAAGTAGAGAAGAGATCTGCAGGAGGGAAGGCTCTGCTAATGTAGACTTAGAGACTGAGGATTTCATATAGATGGATACAAGCTTATGTTTTCTTTCTGAGCGTGGTGTCTCTCAGGAAATAACCTCACCTCTTCTGTTCTCCCCACCTCTAGATTATCCTTGCTCTGGAATGCTGGGCATGGTGTCTGGACTTATTTCAGACTCCCAGATTACAGCATCCAACCAAGGAGACAGAAACTGGATGCCAGAAAACATCCGCCTGGTGACCAGTCGCTCTGGCTGGGCACTGCCACCCTCACCCCACCCGTACATCAATGAGTGGCTCCAAGTGGACTTGGGGGATGAGAAGATAGTGAGGGGTGTCATCATTCAGGGTGGGAAACACCGAGAGAACAAGGTGTTCATGAAGAAGTTCAAGATCGCCTATAGTAACAACGGCTCCGACTGGAAAACCATCATGGATGACAGCAAGCGCAAGGCCAAGGTGAGGCCTGGGGTAGGGAACAGCCACTGTCTGGGGACAATACCTGCCTGCTGGCTCACCAGGAAGTCACTTCTCCAGCCCATGATAGAAGTAAAGAGCCATTCTTCATGTCCTGGGATTTTTGTTGTGGTTTGGTTTTGTGTGTGTATGTGTATGTGTGTGTGTGTCTGTCTGTCTGTCTCTGTGTGTGTGTGTGTGTGTGTTTGTGTGTGTGTGTGTGTGCGCGTGTGCCCATACATGGTTGTGCACACACACATCCATTCATGCATGCCTAAAGCACCGCACTCGTAAGTGTGGAGGCCAGAGGTCAACCTTGAATGTGGTTCCTCAGGAGCAAGCCACCTTGTTTTTTGAGACAGGGTCTAGGCTATTTGGCCATAAATCCCAGCAATCCTCAATACCTCCACCTCCCAAGCCCAGGATTACAAGCATGCACCACTATACTCAACTTTTTACATGCGTTCTGGGGATCAGACTTAGGTCCTTATATTTGCATGGCAGCGCCTTACCAACTGAGCTATGTTCCAGGTCCCTTCTCATGTCCTAGCAGAAGTCAAGGCCTTCCCAGGGAAGCACAGATTTGGCCAGATTGGCTTGTCAGTAAGCTCTTGGGGTCTACCTGACTCTACCTCTCCAGCATGGGGGTGACAAATTCAAGATGCGTAATCTGGCTTTTACTTGGGCGCTGGGGGACTAGTCTTAGGTCCTTATGACTGCAGAGCAAGTGCTTTACCCAGACCTGCTCCCCGAAGCATTTGTTCGTCGATTCGTTTGTTCACGGTACTGAAGAGCATGTATGCAAAGAACATACTCTTCACTGAGCCACATTTCCCCACACTGTTTAAAGTTTTCATTGTTGAGCTGGGGATGTATGTAATCCCAGTACTCAGGAGGCAGAAGCAGGAGAATCTCTGTGAGACCAGCCTGGGGACATATTGAGTTCCAGGCCAGTGTGGACTACAGAATGAGACTACACCAAAAATAAAACACAAACATATATTCAGTTGTCATAAAATATGCATAGAATTTACCATCTGAATCTTTGTAAGTACACCTCATGACGGTGTCATGTAAATCCATATCTATGTCCAGCTCTTCTCCAGAACTTTAGGCTTGTGAAGCTGAGATGCTGGGCCCATCAGGAATCCCTCTCCGCTTCCCCGCAGTCAGTCCTAACCCATCATCATCCTACCTCCCGCCCCGGGTCTGACTCCTCAGGAGCCCCCTGTAAGTCAGTCATAGTGCAGTATTCGTTGCTTCATGGCTAGTTTACTTCACTTAGTGTAACATTGAAGTGGTGTGGGTCCCAATTTCCTTCCTTTTAAGAGCAGAATAGTGTTCTGCCATGTGAAAAGCCACATTAATTTATACATTCACTACTGAGGGACCCTTGGGCTGTCTCCATCTTTTAGCTATCATGGATAATGCTTAGATATATTCTTATGCGTTTGGAACCTCTTAAAACTCAGTCACCTCCTGCTAATCTAATGAAATGAGGAGGCGATCTCAATATTAAAATATCCCAGCATTCAAACCCAAAAGATATGCTTCAGACACCAGGTTTTACTCAGGGTTCTGGCTACATTTATTTACACTTCCTGAGAAGACCACACCAAGTTGGAACGGGTCCCAGGAGTGTACTTGGGTGGCCCTAAGTGGATTTGGAATGAAAATGAGGACCCGCCCCCAGGTTTTCACATACTCTATGGACATTTCTCACACCAACACATTTGGCCTTTGTTCTAGGTCTTTCTAACTCTACCCACCCAAAGCTGTTTCCCCCACGGGTGAAGACCTCAGCTCATTGGCTGGGACATCCTCTTTCACTTTCCAAACAGGGTGGCAAGGCCTTGCAGATAGGAAGCAATCCTGGTCCTGCTGTTAGTTTTCCTCCCTCCAGATATGTGGCTTTGAGGGTAAGACCCTGTTCCCCCAAAGGCTGCAGGTCAGTGATGGAGCTGCCGGCCACTGACTAAACCAATGTTCTTGCTGAGTACCGTGTAAAACTGTCTCTCATCCCTCCCTGAATTGACTTGTGGTTTCTAAAGCATTTCAGCATTATACGTGGCTACATTCTTTCTTTTCTGAGACAGGGTCTCATGGAGGCTCCCACTGCGGCTGGCTCCCAACTCACTAGGTAGCTGATGATGTCCTTGACTTTCTAATTCTCCTACTGGGATGACAGGCATGCACTATTATGCTTGGTGTATGCAGTACTGAAGAATGAAACCCTGGGTCCAGTGCTTGTTGGGCAAGCACTCAACCAATTAGTTGACCTACAGCCCCAGCTTATAACCTTACTTCTATCTCATGTCTTTTTTACTTTCTTCTTTGTGTGTGTGTGTGTGTGTGTGTGTGTGTGTGTGTGTGTACATGTTTATATATGTAACTGTTCTTGGGTGTGTCATGCACTTACGTGCACAAGCATGTGGAAGCTGGAGGGCACTTTATCCATCATTCCTCAGACGCGATCCACCTTGTGTTTTGAGACACGGTCTCTCTCAGACCTGGGACTTACCAGCTAGGCTAGGCTTACCGTCCAGGGAGCCCCAGGAATCCTCCCATCTTGGTCTCCCCAGCACTAAGGTTACAGGTGTGTGACACCACTCCCAGTTTCTTTTTACTTGGGCTCTGGAAATCAAACTCAGTCCTCACCCACTGTACTATCTCCCAAGTCCACTTGTCCTTTTTATGTCCACCCTTTCTGGACTTGGGAAAAGGAAGAGGGAAACCCACCCAAAACTGAAGTCCCTGTACACCGACTTCAAAGAGTGGGATGGACCGTGACTTCATCCCGGAACTCGAGCAGGCAGCAAATCAGCCACTTCCCCGCTGCTGCCGATGCAGGGTGTGTTGTTGTGACACGTTCTTCACACGAGGCTCTGAGAGAGCAAACAAGTCCCCATATGTGTCTGATAGGAGGCATCATATGCTTCCTGTCATCTAGCCCTCACGGCAGTGGAGCCTGAAGCTGTCAGCCTGTCGCAGCAAACTCAGTACAGAGTTACACAAGAAGCTAACGCGTGTGTTTCCACTTTAACAGAGTCCCCTGCTGGAGACTGGTTGAATACATTGGGATTTAGTCCTGAAATGCTCGTCACTGTCATCTTCCTATGATACCTGAAACCATGGGGACTTCTAGACCACTTAGACTGAGCCTAATCTCTGATTCTTAGCATGCTCTTCCCCTGAAATAATATTACTAAAGTAGAGATGGAAATGGGTAAAATCTTCCATTTCAGACAGCCTACATTTTCAAATTATATAAAGGTATTTGAAACGTATTCTACTTAATGGTCCAAATGCTGGCTGCCTGCCGAGGATGCCAGCCATCATTCACGTAAAAGTGAAATGCGGATATTTGTAGGATAAGACAATGCTTTTGTGAATTAATCTCCTGTATGCCCTTCCCTCACCCCCACCCACAAACGTATAATTGGCAAGGTCTATCTTCTACCAGAGTTGTTATGGTCGGAGCCTGGCCCTTGCAGCCCAACAGGCTACTCTTAGCCATCACAAATACCAGGAGAAAAGCCGAGAAAGGGGACTTATCTATCCAATGTGGCCCCATTGAGAAGATGAGCAAAGAGGGTATCAGTGGCCCCAAGTTTATCTTCCAAGTCCTGGGCATGAGGCTTAGGTTTAAATAGAGGGCTAGAGGTATAAACAGCTAAGCAGTGCTGGTCAGTTGTGGTCTGGCCCATCACTGATCCACCCTTGTCTCAGCTCCTCGCTCTGCTACAAGGTGGTCTGACAAGTCCTCAGAACTGTGTGAAGTCTCTTCCTGGGGGACAAGCTCTCACTGTGGCTCGCACCAGCCTTCAGCTTTTTCCTTTGCCCAGAATTTACTAGGGAAATTCTAATTCTTTGGGGTCCATCATTTTTTCTGTAGCACAAAAGTCAAGGTGACGGCATGATTGTCTCTCTTCTAATTTCCTTCTTACCGGGATGGTTACATGTCAGGGTCTAGATTAACTAGACTTTTCAGGACTAGAAGGAGCCAATGACCTCAGGTTCTAGAGAACAATGGTTTGTGGAGCCCTGTGCTAATTCCTAAGCAAGCCTCTGCTGTCTGAGTTCACCCGAGCCCATGCGGCTTTCACGGCTGGTGTTTTCCCAGCTCGCCACTGACAGCTTTTATAAAGATTCACATTGTGTTCGTTCTTTGTTCAAGCTGAAGTGGGGAAAGGGTCCCAGAATTCCAATGATAACAGTGCTTCCTCTGATGTTCTTCCCAGCCTCATCAGTGTAGACAGGACTTGTGTGTGTAGTAATGGTGTTTTCGTTACAATTAGCGTCTTGCTGACAACAGCTTAATTGGGCCTAACAATGCTGTATGTCAGATTCTCAATTACTCACAGTGCTTGTGGATCTATCAAGAGTCAGGACCTTGATAGCAAATGTATTCCTTAAAAAAGGAAATTGATGAATTAAGCTCCAGTGTTAGTATGTTAGATTTCTACTGCATTTTCTGAGTTATAAAGGCCAATTAATTTACTTCAAGACCCCAGAGCACTTGGTTATCTGTCTGTCTCTTCCTACATGTTTCCTCTAGTCATGGCGTGTTCTCCATGAGATCCTCACATCCTCTGCTGTGTTAGGATGCTGAGCCCATTCGGTGTGCTCCCACTCTGCCTGGAAGGGCTGGGCTGACCACTCCATCTGGCTGCCAGTTTGCATCCAGTTAAAGGCACAACAGTGAATACAAATGTGTTTCCTGGGTGTTCTTCCCTCCTAGTTAAGAGGCTAGAAGCTTGGTGCATGCGGAAGACATCTCAGCTATACAGGAGGCCAAGGCAGGAGAATCATGTCAGCTCAGGAACTGTAGTCAGTCCTGGGTACCACAGAAAGACCCTCTTTCCTCAAAGGCAAAAATAAAGTGAGGAGACTGTGCTACTTGATCTTCGAGAGCCAGAACCCTGGAGTGGTATGGCTAAGAGCGCCAGTAAGTCAGCCAAGGTTTGCATCCTGCCTCTGCAAACTCCTTGACTACTCTGTGACCCGTTTCCTCATCTAGAAAAGATGTGTAAGGGCTCTAGAGATGACTGGGGAGGTAAAGTGTTTACCTTGCAAGCATGAGGACCTGAATTTGATAGACCCACATGAAAAGTCGGTTGTGGTAGAGTATGCTTGCAGTCCTAGCAGTTGGGGGGGCAGGCAGAGGCAAATGGATCCTTAGGGACTCTGGCCAGACAGAGGTGCTATGAGGGTGCTAATCAGTGTACCCTAACAGACGTTGTTCAAAAACAAAGCAAAAAAGTAGAGAATGCCTGAGGTAATAATACCTGAAGTTGTCCTGTGGCCTCCATAAACACACGCTCACACACACACACACACACACACACACACACACACACACACACACACAGAGAGAGAAAGAGAGAGAGAGAGAGAGAGAGAGAGAGAGAGAGAGAGAGAGAGAGAGAGAGACTTGAATCAAGTAAGGGGGTTCAGAAAATGCCACTCCCAAATGTGCTCCCTTGGAATTTCTGGTTTAGGGTCTGTAGGGCCCAGAAAATGCAGGTACAGTTCTCTCTAAGCTTCCTTCACCTGCTAACAAAGATCCTCTGGGGCCTGTCCCAGGAATGTCATCAAACAGGAAAGGATGAAGGCCATGTCACAGCAGAGAAGGCTGGGGTCAGACCCCCACCTAGACATAATGGGCACAGGTCTTACCTTCTGGGACCCATAAATCATCATCTGCCCCCTAAACTGCTTGCAATCTCTCGCCTTTCTCTAGAAAGAGAGATAGGCATTTCCAAAACTCACTGGGTACTCAGGAATTTGCTTTTCTTCAAGGCTCTGAGGATATTCTTAATGTAGTCCTTCCTTCTGTTAACCTTTCTACTCTGTTTAGTTCATACTCAGTTACTGACCTTTTAGACAGTAAGAGTTTCTACTGTCCTATACAAAGAAAAAACCAAGTGACCTCGTGTATATGTGTGTGTGTGTATGAGTGTGTGTGTGTGTGTATGTGTGTGTGTGTGTGTGTGTATGTATCTATGTGTGCATATGGTTCATGTACAGGTGTGTGTCTGTGTCTGTACATGCATATGGTTCACGTACAGGTGTGTGTGTCTGTGTGTATGTATGTGTGTGTGTGTGTGTGTGTGTGTGTGTGTGTGTGTGTGTGTGTGTGTCTGTGTGCACATGGTTTGTGTGCAAGGATGCTCATGAATGTGGAGGCCAGAGGACACCCGCAGGTGTCATTCCTCAGGCACTTTTCACCTTGTGTTTTGACACAAGTCTCTCACTGACCTGGGCTGACCATTTAGACAAGGCTGCCTGGTTAGCAAGTTCCGGGGATCTGCAGGTCTCTGCCTCCCCAGAGGCGGGATCACAAATGCAGAGGACCATACTCAGCCTCCTTTTTCATGGATTCTGGGCATTGAACCCAGGGCCGTATTCTTGAGAGGCACAGATTTGACCCGCTGCGCCACCTACCCAGCCCTTATTACTTTTTCTCTTAATAACCAGCTCTTTTTGCTTCACAGTCTTTCGAAGGTAACAACAACTATGACACCCCTGAGCTGCGGACGTTCTCTCCTCTCTCCACGCGCTTCATCAGGATCTACCCTGAGAGAGCCACACACAGCGGGCTTGGCCTAAGGATGGAGCTTCTGGGCTGTGAAGTGGAAGGTGACTACAGTTCCCAGGGCCCCTTCTACTCCCTCCCTTTCTACTTACATCCTCACACATCTCTGCCTCTGAGGTGCTGAGGTAAAGCTGCCACCCTCTCCCCCGAGTGAATGGTAGCTCCACACCTGGCAGCCAGTGAGATCTGGCACCCTCTCATGCCACAGAGCATCCAAATTTGCCTCAGCAGTCTGGACTGCTTTCTTTCTTTGGAGTCTAGAAGATTGTCTCTCTTGAGTGTGTGTGTGTATGTGTGTGTGTGTTAGGGAGATGGCTCAGTTGGTTGGTAAAATGCTTGCCACACAAAGCATGAAGGCCTAAGTTCAATCCTCAGAATCCACATTTAAAAAAAAAATTGCTGGGTGTGGTAGTGCTCGTTTGTATTCCTAGCACTGGAGAGGTAGAGAAAGGCAAATCCATCCCAGGCTAGCGAGAGACCCCATCTCAAAAACCAAGGTGGATAACATCTGCGGAACAAAAGTCAAGGTTGACCTCTGGCTTCCACATGTATGTATACACATGCACACCTCCACACACAGGAACATCCACATACAAAAATATTAAGGTGAAACATACAGAACAAAAAATTCATTTTGCTTATTCATTTTTGAGATTCAGATCCCACTATACTCTAAAGTGGCCTCAAGTTTGTGATCCTCCTGTCTCAGCATCCCAGCAGGCTGAGATTATGATATGTGCCACCATTTTAAAATGAATAAGCCAGTGTTTTTGAGCGTACCCACTGTTTTCTTGTCTCTGCCATCTCTCTGGGGTTCTGAAATACTTCCATTGTGGTTCAGTGAAGCCCTCTGCTCACTATGCTACCTCTCCCTCTGTCCACTTCTCAAAACCCCTCGCCAACTCCTTTGGCTTCCAAGGGTGGAAGGGTCATCAAGATGGCCCAGAGGGAGAATCACGTTTGCTATGGCAAGACTGGCAACCTAAATTCAATCCCTGGAACCTTCTATAGAGGAGAGAATTGACCCATGAAAGTTGACCTCTGGGCTCTACATGTACGCACTTGCTCACATAGTCATCTGCACCCACACCCATACACCACACATGCACAAATAACAAAGTCAAAATTATTTTAATAAATAAAATAATAAATAATTATGTGTACAGGTCTGTCCCATCCAAATTTCTGTCTGTGCTATTGACTACTGTCCTGCTCCATTGGACAGAGGGATGTCAAGACATCTTGGATTGATTCCTTAGGCTGCTGGGAAGAAAGAAAGTTTAACCTGTGGTAAAGTATCTGATCCTATGGTGAAGTCTGCTGAAGGACATTCCCTCATTTCTCAGATTATCATATGAAGGTCACGTGAAGGACAAATTTCAGACCCAAAATCTTACCAGGGACGGAGGTGCTGAGTGATTTGAGCTGGTTATTGTACGATTTGTTGCTTGATGCAATGGAATTCCCATCTGCCTTAGATCTGGGTACAAATGAGTAACCTTACACCAGCTTTTCCTCCTCCACAGAGGTCCTTCTCTGGGTTCCCTAGAAGAATGGCTGCTGTTGGTGCCCAGATGTTAATCAACTGAGCACATGCTCGAAGTTGTTGTGAAGAAGGCTTTTTAATATCACCTTCCTCAGGTTTCAAAATTATGTGTGTGTTGAGCTACCCAAGCATAATTACATTCCTGAGCACATTAAATGCTGTAGAACTTTCTCTATGCACCATAGGATTGTAGGCTATCAATCACAACACTGCTGAGTAATTCATAGCTACACCTCGATATAGATTTAAAATCAAGTTGTGACTCCCACCCTACCCATGCTTGTGGCTTCCAAATCTGTAGTCTTAATCTTCCGACACTATCACTGCAGACCAACAGTCACATGTCAGGGATCAAGCAAATGACAAAGAAACAGTTAGCAATCTTGACCGAGTATAAAATGTGCTCATTCGGCGTTCTGAGAAGGGTGGTCCTCTGGGAAAGGGGAGGTGGTGCCCGGAGGCAGGTGTTTCACCCTGATCCTGGACGGACCTGTGATTTAGAGAGTGGGATGAATGGGGGTTGCAAACATTGGGCCTTGTGGCAATTTGCCGGTTTCAGCTGCAGAGTGAGTAAGGTTAGGGGACATACAAGCACTGCCCTGAACCAAGGTAAAGAAAAGCCATCTGGGAAACATAATGCCACCGCTTCTTAATGCCCATGGCAAGGGGGAGCCCTTCTATGCCTGAGGCCCCTTCTCAGGCTTTATCAAGTGAGCACTGGGGCCAAGCTTCTTGGTGGTGTCTGAAGGGCTGTTGGGGAGAGGATGGGGTCTAGTCCACCCTTGAAGGACTCTCTAGCCTATTTTGTGCTCAAGCTTCTTTTTAACAACAGTTGGAGATCCCCAGAAGACTTTCAGACAGGGAAACTGAGGCATGAAAATGAGTCACCTCTTACTTTTTGTAATGGAACCTAGGTGCCACCTTGGACCACTTCCAGTATGAAGCCTCTCCTTGTAAGCACGATTAACAATGAGGACACGTCCACAGAATGAGCAGAGCCTAAAAGTCTTAAACATTGCAGGTTATCAAGGACTGTGCACGCTGAGGGACAATAGCCATACAAATGGCCAGGCGTTCTGCTGACCCAGGGATGGCAGTGAATAGAGCCGGGGGGGAGTGTACATTAGGTAGGAGTATGCATGGATGTGTATTCAGATGAGTGTGTGCATGTGCTCGTGTGTGTGTGTGTGTGTGTGTGTGTGTGTGTGTGTGTGTGTGTGTGTGTGTAAAACACTGGCTATTAAGAAAAAAAATGTAGTAAGTGCTGGGTAGATGGCACAGAGGGTAAAATCCTTGCCTTTTAAGAGTAATACCCTGGGTTCAGTTTCTAGAATCCATCCAGAAGAAAGTTTGCATGGTGGTATATATTTGTGATCCTACCACTGGGGAGGCAGAGACAGGCAGATCCCAGGAACTCACTGACCAACTAGTTTCACGAAGTCCAGGAGATGGGCCCAAACAGCAAATGTCATCTGTTCATGGTGATTTCCTAGCTATTCTTAGGTTCGGGGCTTTGGAGAACTGGAAACTCGGTTCCGCCTCTACATTCCTCTTAACGCTGCTCACTCCTTAAGCACAGTGACAGTGTTGAGTTCCTCCCAGTAAAGCAACTGTAACTGGCGCGTTCCTCCCGGCCAGGGCTGGAGAGGAACCCCCCCCCCCGACCCCCACCCCCTTACCTGTTCCCAGCCTCTCATACGGTTCTCTCCCATTAAGAGACTTGACCCTTATCTCTTGTCCTGTAATGTGAAATACAATCCCCCAAACGGTACAATATTAAACAGATTGCAGAAATGAGTAACAGGCTGGGGGAAAAAAATGGACTGAACCAAATTTAAAGGACTTCAAAAGCAGTCTTTGATTAATGCTGGCTACTTTTCAACCACAAACTCCGAGATACAGAGGGCCCAGCCAGCAGTGGAATGCAATCCCACTGGAGACCAGACGAGGTGAGCTGACCTCAGGCCACAGGAGACAGCTCACACACCTGCCTGGGACAGAGGGCCCCAGGTGGAGCGCTGCTTAGAGAGAAACAGAACAACCTGTGAGCAAAGATCGCGCCACGCCAAGTGCGAGCTGATGCTCCTTTGTGCAGAAAAAAAACAATGGTATGGACAGCAAACTCGTCAATACTGAGACCATGACAGAATTCGTGGGCGTGGCTTCTTAGTACTTCAGGAATAAAAGGGAACGTGGTGTCTTCTCTCGCGCGCGGGGGTTCTTGACTCCAGAGTTATGAACAAATATCCAGGAGACTCGAGAGGCTTGCAGGAAAGAAATGTTTATATAGATAACTATGTTTTGACTGCCCCTGCAGCCAAAGCTACTCAGCAGGTAGGGATCAAACACCCAAACCCAGCAGCCCCTCATTCATGTTATAGAATTCAGGGGTGTTTAGCTTCCCACGAGAGAGGCAGAGCATGTCCCTGGCCTCCACACTCCGCTCTAGAGTGTGCTGCACGAGCATATCGGAAGCTTGATAATGCTTTTCAGAAGTGTGAGAAGTAATACTTGGATCTTGTTTCAGCGCCCACAGCTGGACCAACCACGCCTAATGGGAACCCAGTGGACGAGTGTGACGATGACCAGGCCAACTGCCACAGCGGCACAGGTGATGACTTCCAGCTCACAGGTGCAGAGCCCACCCTCATCCCACCATTGTGCCCTGTCTGTCTGTGTCCTGGTCTTCTGTGTGTCTGCTTGTTGCTCAGAGTGGTGGGTGGCAGGGTACTGGCAGGGCCACTGAAGAATGGAAACCCACAGGTGGCTTGCCATCCCCCATGTGGCTTCATTTCCTCCCGCCACCCACATCAACAAGTCACTCCTAGTAGCTGTGGCTGTTTTCAGAGCTGAGCATGTCAAGTTCATCTTCAGGCAGCCCCTCCCGCTGTACCATGCACAGCACCCATCCCCAACCACACGCAGTAAAGCGTTCACTTTCCTTTCCTAATGAGGACAAAATTGTTTGAGTGGAGACTTTATCCAACAAATTGATTAAATTAGACTTCTAATTTCAATGCAGCTTTTAAGTTAGGATTTTGCAAATTGTTTTGTATTGAAATTTACTAAGGTGGAATTACCTATGACTTCACATCAGCCCTGGCTGGCAGGTTCATCAGATGGGGATATACAGGAGCCTTGGGGTCTATCTGGTGTTACTCTCACACCATCCAAAACCACAAAATCTATAAAGAAACCTTTCTTTCCACTTAGACTGGCAGAGGGAATTAAACAAATAGGGAAATGGGATTGCCCACTTGAAAACTGGGCAGGGCACTGAAATTCACACCCTATTTCTGCAAAAGGTATAACAGGATCTTTAAGACTAACTGGAACAGAAAACTCTGACAATTGTTTTGTGTTGTGTGTGTGTGTGTTTGTGTGTGCATGCACATGTGTGTGCTTGTGAAAGTCAGAAACTGACATGGGATGTCCTCTTCAATTTGTTCCTTATTTTTGGAAACCCCCACCACCACCCAGTTTGGCTAGACTGGCTAACCACTGAGGTCTAGGAAGTTACTTGTCTCTACCTACCTCACACTAGGGCTACAGATGTGTACTTCAGCTCCTAACTTTGTGTTTAAAAAAGCCTGGCTTTGCTTTTTATTGCGTCCGATATAAAAACCAACTGCACTGAATTTAAACAGACAAGGACATTCACGGGCCATAGAGACCCAAACCCTTCCCTCTTAGACATGTGGGTAGAGCCTGGGCACATGTTTGTTTGGGGGTCTGCAGAGTTGTGCTGGGCCTTTATGCATACTCCCGCTTGGAAAATGTTGATGGCAATAACAAATGCCAGGAGGCACCAGGTCAGGAGAGCAGCTGTAGTGTTGTGGGGCAGGCCGTCTACAATACAGGCAGCCTGTTGATGCCTGGTCTACTGTGGTGGCTGTGTTTGGTTTGGAGACTGAGAAGGCAGGCTAGCCCTGATATCCCTCTCTCACAACACACACACACATGGCACAGTTGTGCTTGAGTTTAGTGACCACAGAATGACAGGTGAGAATGGATTCAGCTTTGCCCCGGCCAACTTGTGTTGTTCACTGCCTCTCAGGAACTCACAGGATGGGGACCCCTCTGGGCCAAAGAGAGAAAAGTTGGCACTGACATAGGAAGGGGTCTGGCCCTCAGTGAGCAACATGGCCAGCTGCTAGAGGCCAGAGCAAGAAGAGCAGGTGCAGGCTATTGTCCTTTACACAGACACAGGTTGATGTTGCAAAATAGAGATGCCCGTGGACCTGACTTGCCCTCTGGTAGGTGACCGGTGGGTGGGACTTGTCACCACCTCTTTCACTTCTGCTTTTCCTCTGGGCTTCCTGCACCTAACTTTTTATGTGGGCACTAAGGATCAAACTCGGGTCCTTGGGCTTATGCAGCAAGTACTTTGCTGAACTGTCTTCCCAAGCGCCTGACCCAGAGCCCCCGTAATGAATTTTCATGAGTAAAGTTGACGGTGTTATCATGTAATTTCCAAATACTGCAAGGCTAATGGCTGAACCCATTCAAGCAAAAATTTAGGGACCGTCCCTTGGTTCATTTCCAATTACATCAAAGTCTCTCCTCTGCAAGAGGGAAAGAGTTCCAGGCTCCTAGGTAAAACGCAAGGTTAAAGGGGGGAAAAATCAACCCAGAAATGTAGCACAGCTGACCAGAATTTTTATATTTAAGTCCCACCCCCCTTGAAACTGTCACCCTCCAAATTTCAAAGACTTACCACACGGCTGTGGGCTGGCAATGGAAATCTTATACATAAGTAGCCACAAGCCACAAAATGTTTGTCCAATTAATGCAGAGACATTTTTAGGTCAGACAACAAGTTCTGGGGCCAACATAGAAAACGGAGTTCCATCCCCAAGCCAGGCCCCATACAACCTTCCCAGAGTCGCCTGCAAGCAGGCCACCCCAAGCCTTCGGGTTCTGTGGGCCCCAACACAGCCTCAGCAATGTCCCTCATGAAAAGGAGGCATTTCAGAATCACAGTACACCCTTTTCAATTGCCCTCTGTGGAGGGCTCTTATCCTTATGAGCCCGAGGGTAGTCAGTTAATATTGATTAGAAACAAAGGTTCAGATTTACTCCCCATATCCGAACAAACGGCCTTCTCATTTTTACGTTAGTTCATGACTGAGCCAACTGAAACCAGAGCCTTTGAATGAATAGGGCAAGCCTGTTAGCCTGGAGCAAAGCGCAGATGAGGCAAGCCTTGCACCCCAGAAAATGTGTCATTCAGAGTGGAAACAGTGACAGCCCTTGAGAGGACAAGGTTTTGTTTCACCTACAGTGGTGAAACAAAATGGTTTCTTTAGTAGAGAAAAAAAATCTTTCCTAATTTTTTTTTAAAGTTACCATGGCATGAAAGAAAATAGTTATTTTCTTAGGCTAGTATGTCTCAACAATTCTAAAAATCTATGCCCATTAGTAAGAACCTCAGGGGCTGGTCATGCCCAGCCCACAGCCCACCAAGAACACATGGTCTTGTTCATTCTCATGCTTTATTTTCATTGGTTATGTTGAATATAGTATATTGGTCAAAATTAAAAGTGTATGTGTGTGAGAGTGTGAAGGAGTGTGTCGTTTTCCTGGAAAAGGCAATGCTCACATAACATCATTTTCATGAATCCAACTAACCACACCTGACCCGAGTACCTTTTTCATCTGTAAAACACTGACCCACTGAGCTCACTCCTGCTCCAAGCAACTTTCTACATACAAAAGGCATGCCTCCTGAACTCATACCAGACCCAAGGAACTCTGCATGTGAAACACAGACAGACACAGACACATGCACACACACACAGACACACCAACACACACACACACACACACACACACACACACACACACACACACACACACATCCTGCACTTACCTGACCCAAGTACCTCTAATACTCTAGAGTCAGCATATACTCACATTACCCTTTTGGCTAATTGTGACAGACTTTATGACTAGAGCTATAAACTTGGGGTGTCCGGTGTAATAAAACCTGGGAGTCGGGGAACGTTCTCACTTGAACTCCAAGAACCGGGTGTGTAGAAACAGGGTTGAATCTCTCTTCAGCAATGCTCATTCCCTCAGAACATTCAGAGTCTCCTCTCATTTTTCTCCTGGAGTGACATGTTCAGATATAGAGGGAACCAAATACTCCAGCCAAATGCTATCACTCGCAAATGATGCTGACGTTCAAGTGAGCTGTGCCCCCAGTAGGCATTGGAGAGCGTGTGTCTCTATGCTTTCTGGCCAAAGTTAAGATTCACCCCTGAAGTTGCTGAACTGCAAACCCTTTTGAAAGGCAGTGGGAGGTGAAATTTCACCTTGAGCCACATGGTCCCAACAGTGGAATTCAGCTTCCAGCCTGTTACAAAACTGATCGTGCGTATCAGATATGAAAGCGTGTGTTCACCTTGAATCTCTCTCCTCTCAGACTACTGGGGACAGTATGCTAATGTATTCTGGCCTCCCTCCAATCCTGCCATCAGAAACTCACCTTCTTAACTCTCAGTGTGCAGAATCCCTTCTTTCCAGTGCCTACCTTATGGAGGCCATGCGTATGCGACTCTCCTACCTTATAGAGGCCATGCATATTTGACCCTTCTTCAGCACTTTCGCTCAGGGAATGGGACGTGGTAGTGCAAAGGTTTACCTCAGAAACTGCTAGATGTTCCGAAAGTGAAAACATTTTGGCTCTCTAATGCATGCCAGCACACTAATGTGAGCTCTGGTCTGTGGGGCTGTAGGAAAGGACAGGCCTGTGTAGAGACCATCACAGATCTGTATGAACTGAGGGTGCTTGGCAGAGCGCAACTACAGCACCTTAGAACCACGTGCAGAACCCCCAGCAATAAGTCTCTGCCCTCCCCACCATGCCTCTATCCTGAGTAGACCAGTGCTTAGACTCTGGCATAAAGATCAGTTTCTCAGGACTAGGGAGATAGCTTAGCAGACAATGTGCTTACACAATCATGAGGACCTGAGATCGGATCCTTGGTCCATGTAAAAAGTCAGGTGCAGCTGGAACAGTGTGTACCAGTAATGCCCGTGCCAGGGAGGCAGAGACAGGAGCCCCTGGACTCATTGGCCAGTCAGTTCAGCTCTAGGATCAGTGAGAGGCCCTGTCTCAGAAATAAAACGGAGGGGTCTGGAGAGGGCCCAGTGGTTAGGAGCTTGTATAAAATCTGAGTTTGGGTGCCAGCACCCATGTCAGGCAACTTACAACTGTCTATAACTCCAGCTCTAGGGGATCTAGGGGATCCAATGCCCTCTGGGCTCCAAAAACACACACACACACACACACACACACACACACACACACACACACACACACACTCGCGCACGCATGCATGCACACACATGGGCAGACACACATGTATTTAAAATACACGTAACTTAAAATAGAGTGAAGAACAATTGAAGAAGACACCGTAATGTTGGCCTCCGGCTTCCACACACTCTGTGTGTGTGTGTGTGTGTGTGTGTGTGTGTACTAATATAGAGGAAAATGGCTCCCTTAAGTTCCTGAGTAAAAAGCAACACACCGCTTGTTTCCCAGGCCCACGGAGTCAAAGACTCATCTGAGAAGCTCTGAGAAATAATTTATTTCAAGGCCCTTTCTCCCAGACATTCCGTTCCCACTAGGTCCCAGAGGGGCCGAGCAGAGAGGAGACTGTGATGAGTAATCAAGGTTCTTCCTGTGGTCGGGCGAGTTTGAGAACATTGCCAGGGGCCTGGGGGTACTCAGCAAAGTGCTTGCTACACAAGAGTCAATAGTGGCATGTGCTTGTCACCCCAGCATTGGGGAAGCAGAGACAGGAGGATGCCTGGGACTTGATGACTAGCCACCCTAGCCTAACCAGCAAGCCGCTGGGTCTCAGTGACAGATCCCACCTCAATAACCCAAGGTAAGAAGGACATCTGATATGATCCTCTTGCTTTCATGGGCACCTTCACACACAAGTATACATATTCATGTATCCTTGTATGCAAGCACCCCCACCCATACAGACACACACACAGGCACACAGAGAGAGAGAGACTTAGAACAGCCTAGAGTGGGGATGAGTGGGGATGGCAAAGCGGCCATGCAGAAGAGAAGTTAAATTCTGCAAAAGGCTACAGCCCTTTCCCCTGACAGAGATTTCCAAGGAAGTCCCAGGCTGAATCAAAGCTAACAGTATTTCTGCAATCACTGTCCCATTCCTGAGTCCCTTGGGACTGTGAAGAAATGTTTATCCCCTTTGCCTTCACAAACCTTCCACCACTTCTCCAAACCGTATTCTAAGCAGAATATTTGTTCTTGGAAAAAAGCAAACAGCTATGCCAGAGGAAAGAATGAAAAAGGGAGAGAACCACAGTCATCCACTTCAAACCTTCAGTTTTAAAAATACCTTGCAGGGACTGACCTCATGACTTCCCTGAGGGCACACTTCTCAAATGCTGGAAACTATGTGAAGCTTCAAGGTGTAGGTCAAGCTTAATACTTCAGTCAGTGAGGACTGTTAGCGGCCCTGGCCTTTCACTGTTGAAACTGAATGTCACATTTAGCCTTAGAGCAAAGTCCCCAACTCCCCATGCCTTCTGGATACTTTATGAGGAAATGTGCCAGGATATATGGCACACTTGAAAATTGCTACAAGAGACCTCACTACCACCACCACTAAAAAAGAGAGAGAGAAAAAGAGCAATGCATTTGCTAATCAGCCCAATTTAACAATTCCTTTGTGTGTGTGTGTGTGTGTGTGTGTGTGTGTGTGTACATGCAAGAATGTGATATTATACACCATAAATAACAATGTTTATTTGTTGATTTTTAGAAGTTTAAAAAACAAATGTGTTAGCTGGGCGGTGGTGGCGCACGCCTTTAATCCCAGCACTCGGGAGGCAGAGCCAGGCGGATCTCTGTGAGTTCGAGGCCAGCCTGGTCTCCAAAGCGAGTTCCAGGAAAGGCGCAAAGCTACACAGAGAAACCCTGTCTCAAAAAACCAAAAAAAAAAAAAAAAAAAAAAAAAAAAAAAAAAAAAAAAAAAAAAAAAAAAACAAATGTGTTAAAAAAAAAAAAAAAGTAATGCTGCCAGGCGGTGGAGGTGTATGTTTTTAATCCCAGCACTCGGGAGTCAAAGCCAGGCAGATCTCTGTGAGTTCAAGGCCTGCCTGGACTACAGAGCAAGATCCAGAACAGGCACCAAACTGCAGAGAAACCCTGTCTCGAAGAAAAAAAAAAAAGTAATGCTATTAGAGCTAGGACAATGAATCAGTTGGTAAATGGCTTCCTCACATGCCTGAGGGCCTGAAGTTAGCCCTTAAAGCCCGCCCCCCCCCCCCCAAAAAAAAAAAACTGAGCATGATAGCAACAAACTTGCAGCCCAGTGTTAGGGGAGTGGATCCCTGGGGCTCACTAGCCAGTCAGCCTAGCCTACTTGGGTGACCCTGTTTCAAAGGAGGTAAGTGACATTTCTGAGCATGTCACCTCGGGTTGTCCTCTGGCATCCACATGCACATACCCCTGCACACTTACCCAGGTGAACCTGAATCTGCACACACATGTAAACATACACAACATGTGCATAAAAACTCAAATAAAACAGTTTGATGGTAATGTTGTTTGAATCAGATATTGTGGGAGACCAAGTATCGGTCAAACGTGGTTGATCTTGGCAGGAACTAAAGCAAGAATTTTCTGTGGGGAATGTGTCAATACATGAGCTTGTAACATTACCCACCCTTACCTCTGTTTTCTTATTTTGGTATACTATTGCTCTTATTTTTCAGGAGGCACCACTGTCCTGGCCACAGAGAAGCCAACCATTGTAGACAGCACCATCCAACCAGGTATACCAGATGTCTAGTTTCATACACCCCCTTCCACTTCCAAACAACATCACTGAGCTTTATGGTTTCAGTTGCTCTAAAGGCCTAGGAAAGATGCCCAGGCATCCGGTCTGAAAGAAAGCTGTAAAAAGCCACATGCCTTTGGTCGGTCCTCAGTAAGCGCCAGTGAGCAAGATTCCCTTCCTCATCAGTCATTGCTGAATGACAAGTCCCAGCTACCCCCTAGGGAACTGAGCGACATACTTTGTTTAATTGAAGCACAGCTCTGATGTGGCCTGTGTTTGCAAACTGGAAGAAGGAAATCCCACCAGCCACAGCCTAGCTATTTATTTTCATCACCATTCTGCAAAATCAGGAGGCGCAAAGTTTGTCTGCTGGGCCTGCCGCAGAGTTGGCAGTTTTACAACAGTGCTTCCAGTGGGTGTGCCATGAGCCAGGGTGCAGGAAACCAAGGTTTACACTGTGCCTGGGCAGAGAAACACCCTGGGAGCAGCCCCCTTATCCTTAGCTCGGAGGAAAACCCAAGGCCTCTGCACGCCCAGCAGTGCGGGTTATCAAAGGCTGCCCTCTTTTGTTTTCTGTTAGTATTCTGTGACATTCTTCCCCGCAGACTCCCACGAAGGGAAGCACTTGTATAAGCAACCAGAGTTTTTTTAAAAAAATACTTTGGAGTTAATCATTAGAGGAAGGTGAGAGAGGTCAGCTTTCCAGATTCTTCCATTTCCTTTATTGAAGTTCACTCAGCCTTGGCCCCGGCAGTCATTTATTAATGGACCGTGTGGTGTGTATCAATGTTTCCTCCGCACTGACTGCAGGAGAGAGGACTAGAAAGGACTGCCCTAATTAGCATGCTTCCTTAAAGGCCATTGTCACCGTTGACCTGATTAAACGGCAAGGCAAACTCCTTCTATGGAACTTTCCCCTAGTTTTCTGGCGCTTAGACTGACCAAATGCTTGAGGCAGAGGAATAGTCACCTAAATCCCCCAAATGCTATATTCCTGCACACACCTTTCCAGGATATAATTTGACTTTGGGGGCTGTAGCCTAGGATATTGCTAGGCTCTGAACCCAGGACCTAGCAGCCCTAAGATGCTAGGTCTGTCCACCCACCCTCAAGAGGTCATTCAAATAAACAAGAGATGGCAACAAGCAAAAAAAGACAGAGTGGGAAGAGGAACCAAGAGGTCCAGGGACACTTAACTCCATCTTAGCAATTCTGACATGAGATTTATGTTTAAATAGAGGGCAAGAGGTATGCCGTCAGCCCTGGGTGAAATCTTCCCAGAGACAAGTTTCCCCCTCCTGATGGCCCAGGCATGAGCCATCCTCCTCCCAGCATAAGATTTATGGAGAAATTCCAGTATTGTTTTAATAGTCTGATGACACAGGAAGGGCACCAGTGTCTCTTTGCAAATATTTTGCTCTTACCAGGCCATTACAAGGAGGAAGGCCCTGGTCTACATGTCCTGAGGCATGCTTCTCTGGAGTGGGGCTGTGGGACTATGGCTCTCAACATGCTGTTTTTGGAATGAGACAGAGTGAATAGTGGGGTTCTGATGATGCCATGTGTGTTTTAACTGCTCTTCTGGTTCCTTCTCTTGCTGGAAGTGATTAGAGTTCCTCTGCAGTAGCTCCCTGGCTTCATTCATCTCTCTTCTCGCCTATCAAAAGAGCATAGGTATCTCAATGAAAGTGAAGGTCATGGTGACCAAACCACATGTGGTTTTGATAACACATTTGCTTTCTATGGGACCTCTGGGTCATTCTTGTGAAAGCCTTACAAACAGGGGCCTGTCGGTCCTCTCCCAGGGTCTGCCAAGGTCAGAGGACAGGAGTCCAGAGTATGAATCAGTAGGACTTGTGGCTACCACCATCTAGACAAGGCTGGTTCAAACAGCCCATCAGACTATTTATTCCATTGTCTGAGTTAGGAATCTGGTCTTCACCTCCTCAGTGGAAGGTGATGAACTGTGTGACCTTTGGAAGGTATCTGTTCATTAGAACGTTCTGGTTAGGTCACTGCATAGGCTTCATGGGGACTGAAAGTACTTCCAACCAGAAGTCCAGCTCAAGGTTAGGTTGATCACACCTAAACCTTGCTGCATACAGGCTTTCCATGCTTCCCAGGTAACAGCAGCAGCAGACAGACCCCAAGGCTTTGTCAAAAATTCTGTTTTCCTAAGCAGTTACAGCCTAAGAAGAATCTTAAGATTCTGTTTTAAGGGCTGAGGGGATATCTCAGTGAGTAAATGCAAGCATGAGAACCTGAGTTCAATGGCCACACACAAAGCAGGGTACATGGAGCATTCATGGAGGTGGAGATGGGCAGGTTTTAGTGACCCAATCCTAGCAGGCCTAGCCCTACTTGGCAAGTTCCAAACTCCCATGAAAGCCTATCACAAAAAAACAAGATGGGTGGTACCTGAGGAATGGCATCTGAGGTTGACCTCTGACACACACACACACACAGAGACATACACACATGCATGAACACATGCACATACACACAGAGAGAGACTTCATCTTGAGGATTTTTATCAATATAATAAGCTCAGCAGGAATACAATACACACATACTGCCTAGGTTGTCATCAGAGGCATAAAAGCCTATTGATGCTTGGGCAGAAAGTGCCAAGGCCGCCCCCCACCCTGTTTAATGCAGTTCTCTCTGCAAAGGACTTTCACCCTTTGAGGGTCTCCCCACATCCCCACAGCAGCTCACAGTGGGTTGGTGACCTATGATTGTGTGCGCTTCCATACCTCACTTGCTTGGACTTTAGGACCAGCGGATGACCAAGCAGAGATCGTACTAGACAGGAGCCTTGACTCGAAAATGAAGCCCTTGCTTGCATCCTGTGCTAATGACTCAACTGTGGGCAAGATCGTTTCGGTAGGCAGCTGGCACTTGCTCACAGAGGCCATAAATTTGTTTTAAGTTCGGAAGATTGTTTCCTGCTATTTTTAAGAAGGGATTTAGTCCAATTATGACTACTGAATTTAATGAGAACTGTGCACAACTCCAGGGCCTGGGTAATAATTGAAATCTTGGCTGTCAGTGTCCCTGTGTCTGTGTGTCTTTCCTCCACTTGACTTTCTCATCTTCCTCTCCCCTCCCCCTTTTCGCCTTCTTTCCTAATGCTCTGCAGTTTTCTTTTGTCTTCTACAAATGTCTGCTGATAATTCTAATGTTGAGTCACCCTTTTATCCAGGCTTGAGTTGTCAACGCTGAGCTACATGCTTCACAATTTCCCTGTCCCCTGAAATGCATTGACTTTTCTAAATGAATAAGACAGCCATATATCATCAAAACAAGACAAGGAGATGGGGTCCAATGCAATGTAAAAGTTAAATTCTAGGGCTGGCCAGGCTACTGAATGTTAAAGGCGGACCACTATCCATTGAGGAGAATATTAACTCGAGGAACAACTTACTCCTTGTCATGGTCACTGCTAAAATGCTTTATGATGTCTTTAGAATGTTATCCAACATAATGCACAGTGCGGATTTCTGGACCAGAGAGCAAATATTATGTGCTAGCAAAGTGGATGGAACCAAAGCCATGTGGGTTGTGAAGGCTCTCTGCCCTCTTGCATATCTTACAAAGCAGACTGAAGCAGAAAAGTTAAACCCTCACGCTTTTACATCAGCGTTTCCTACCATGAGGTTACACAACAGTACATTCCAGGGCAAGGACGCTGACCACGACATCTGCAGAAGTCAGTTTTGCTGCCCAAGGGCGGTAACTTCAGGAGAGAGATTTCTGAGCCTCATGAAGTCCCACTTCATGCTTCAATAGCTTGCACATGAAAAAGCTCTCTCCTTTGACACTCAAGCTGTCCTTTTGCACTAGCTGAGCATGTGCACAATAAACACATCATGTGACCAACTTTTCTTTTGCAACCAGCTCTGCCCACCCTTTGGGAGGTCACATTATCTCCTTATTATAAGGAATTACATTCCATTTCTGATTATTCATATGGTGAGCTCCTTCCAAAATTGGTCATTAGCACTTGAAAAGAATTCCTTGGAAACCAAAACACGCATATTAAATCATCCTTATCTATTTAATAAATCTTCCCATTAGAACCCCTCCCTCCATTGTTCATGGGGGGGGGCACTGGAGAGCACTGGAAGAGCTATCGAAGGACTTTGTGTTAAACACTTGGGCAAGTTAAAGAAATGCTTAAAAGGAGACGAGGTCTCCGCCTGACCCTAAGGCAGCCCATAATAGCATGCTTTCCTTTATTGTACAAGGCAAGTCCTTTGAGACTCCACTTCAGTTGGGCAGACGCCCCTGATGTGCATCTAGCTGACTCAATACTGCCATCCTGTGGAAGACTGGTCTCAGGCTTGCTCTCCGTGGGGACAGGGGCCACACAATGATCTCATCTTTGGAATTGTTTTTAGCCTCCACTGACTCCTCCCCCAAACAAAACTGTACTATCCCTGATTTCTTCTTTCAATACTTCCAAACTCAAGGCCCTTTCAGAGAACCAGTTTGAGTAAACGAAAGGCTTTGGGGTTATGGAACGCTAAGGTCAGACGCCTTCCTACAAACCCATTAATGCTTTCAACTTCCAAAGGAAGCATTTGGAAGATTTAAAAAAGTATTTCTGAAGGGTCAATGTTTAAATGAGTTTGGGCTTTCTGTGACCTCAAATTGAGGTTTTAAGTGGAACGAACAATTTATATGCAAATTTAGAAGTTCACCAAAAAAAAGCCAGAGATTTATTCTGAAATTAATTGACCTGATGGAGAGCACAGAAGAAAGGAAATAATCGCAGGAAAATGCCTCAGTCACTCCTCCCTGACACAGGTTTGAGCGGTCAGCTGGCGTGATGAGAAGGGGGGCTAGGCTTCCTGTCAAGTCACATCCCAACTGTGGAGGCTACAGTCAATCTCTTATAAGAGTCCTTTCATTGATGAAATCAATTTTTGTGGTTCATCCTCAATAACAGATTACCTTTCCTATTGGCCATTGTGCAAACGGGAAATGCCACTGATGCCCCACACACATGTTCCTTGGAAAGTAACCTTCCTGGAAATCTTATATAAACCTGATTCCCAGGGAAATCCATATTCTTGTTAAAGATGCACACGCGCGCGCGCGCGCGCGCGCGCACACACACACACACACACACACACAGATGAAATGGTAGTGCTAAATATGACTTTGCAAACATTTTGACATGTTCAGGCATCTATTAGTTTCTTGGTAATCCTGGATTTTGTGGGTTTCCCAGAGCTTTAGAACAGATATGAGATTATTAAAAAAAAATGTTTCGAGTATTAATGACCTTCCTGAAACTGGTGGTTAATTCTCCCCATGTGTCTGTCTGTCCTTCTCCACTGAAGAGTTCCCGACCTATGGTTTTAACTGCGAGTTTGGCTGGGGCTCTCACAAGACCTTCTGCCACTGGGAACATGACAGCCATGCGCAGCTCAAGTGGAGCGTGCTGACCAGCAAGACGGGCCCCATTCAGGACCATACAGGTAAGAGTGACACCATGCCTCCATGCTAGGCACATCTTTGGTTACCAGGGATGGAGAGAGGCTTGGGGCAAGAATAGGAATTCTGATTGAGTCTGGCCACTGACTGGCCTTCCTAAAAAACAGCAAATGGAGCAAGGATGGGAGAGCCATGTTTACTTTTACCAAGGTCAACTTTAGCCACATTCAGTGAACTCAAGCTCATTTTAGTTTTTCTGGACTTTTACTGAGGACGTTTTCAGTAGGGGGCAGTACTTAAAACCAGACATGGTTAAACAAAAAACAAACAAACAAAACAGACATGGTAGCATGTGCCTGCAATCCTAGCACTGAGAAGGGGCACACAGGAGGATCAGAAGTTCAAGGTCATCTTGGGTACTTGTTGGGTTCCAGGCCAGCATGGGTTATGTGAGACCCTGCCTCAGAAAAGAAATAATACTGTCCAGTGGGCATTCTCTGTACACAAGCATGCCTTGTCGGCGATCTCTGCATCCCAGGCTCTGCTAACGCATGGCCAAGCACAGCGCATCCTGGTGCTTCTTCTCTGGTCCCCTGAGGAAAAGGGAGAACAATTCAGGAGACTTCACTCAACCTGGCCCATTTCCTCTAAGCTCCATACTCCAGCTCTCAACCTTAGTTTCCTCTTATGAGGAAATGCTGGGAGAGGAATGATTCAGTGTGTTCCTTCCTGTCCTGGTTTTTTTTTTTTTTTTATCTTTACCCCACATGTGGTTCTTATACAGAGCCAGCAGCATCCTGACAGACATACACCTACTTCCACAGACACACTCCCTGCACACACACACACACACACACACACACACACACACACACACACACACCACCACTCCTGAAATATAGTTAGTAGTGGCCCATCAAAAGAGTACTTGGGGGTGCTGAAGAACCCCTAAATTTTTGCATGCTAGCCCTGGGGGTGGCTGGCTTGTGGGCTGCCAGATGAGTAGAAGGTACCCCCCCTCCCATTGTACTGTTCTCTTTTCCATGGTGACTATGAGCACAAAGTAAGCTGAGGACCCCTTTCTGCCACGGCTACCTCCTTTCCTAATGAGAGTGACAAGGAAATTGGATAAAATTGGACTCCTTCAATTCCGAGACACTTTCCATTGAATCTTAAGACAAGCGGTTTTAGAAAACTTAAAATACTTTGACTGTAAATGGCACTGTACACATAAATGGCATCAGATTAACTAAATGCAATTAGCCAAGATGAAGGCAGCAGTAGCGGGAAAATGGATGCAAAGTGAAGCGAAATGGCTCAGTAGGACCTGACATTCAAAGGGGGTGAAAAGCTGTGTTAGCCGGAGACAAAAGCTAAAAGGCTCACAGAAGTAGAGTGCTAATTGAGAAAATGAAGACACAGTTCCCAACCCAGAGCCTGATAAAATGTCTGAAAGGGAAACCCCGGCACTTGGTGCGCTGGAGAATCACAAGAGGAGTCCATTCCTGGGATCCACAGCAGAGAAGGGATTCCTTCCGACTATGTGGCTCCTTTGTTCTCCCAGCCGCTCAGACTGACTGGCAGCTGGCTGTGCCTTGACAAGAAAGAGCCTCTGCTGCACGAGAGATCATCTGGGAGAAGCAGGCATGCCTGGCATGGAAAAGACAGGAACCTGTTAGCGAGGAACCATCTAGATGAAAGCAGCCCCCACCTGCTAGTGCTCATGTCCTTGGGCACTCCCAGGACATTCACTTCTTTTTTTCTTTTTTGAGACAGGGGCTCACTCATGCCAGAGCTGGCCTTAAATTCCCACTGTGTGGCTGATGATGACCTCGAACTTCTAATCCTCCTGCCTCTACCTTGGAGTGCTAGGGTTAGAGGCATGTGCCACCCCACCCAGGTTTATATGGTGCTAAGGAAGGAACCCAGGGCTTCGTGCATGCTAGACGACACTGTACAAACCGTCCTCAGCAGGAGGACCACAAGTTCAAGGCCAGCCCACAGTGAAACTCCTTCTCAAATCAATGATAATGATATTTGGAACCTTGCAAATTGGATGTTGAGGTATTTAAAAAATATTGCTACTTCGGTGACGTTCCTAATTTTGAATTGTAAAGGAATCGCACTGGGTTCTGTGCTCATGACTTTAGGAATGGATCTGTGTACCTCTTTATAAACAATTCCAGCTTCTTTGCCTTGTTCACTGAATGCTGGGTGGTGGTGGGGGGGGGCATGCAATAAGGGTAAAAGAGAACCCAATGAGGACTGGGGAGATGGTTCTGTCAGTAAAGTGCCTGTCATGCCAGTATAAGGACCTGAGTTCAGATCTCCAGCACCCAGGCATGGCCTTGTGCACCTACAATCCCACTGTTGGAAGGTAGAGACCAGAGGGTCTTTGGGGCTGAAGGTCAGCCCGTCTCACCAAATCAGGGCCTCTACATTCACTGAGAGACCATCTTAAAACAAGGTGGGGAAGATATTGAGGGATGCCCAGCATCCATTTCTGGCCTCCACACACACATGCATGCACCCATACACACACACACACACACACACACACACACACACACACACACACACACACACACACACAAAGACTCACCCATAATCATAGCCCAGGAGGTGAGAGGAATTTCTGAGAGATGGTGCCAGTGTGTAGTTGAGACAAAGGCTACGTGTGCAGCAGTTAGACTGGCGGCCGAAGTGTGGGCCCATACTCCTGTTTCCTCCCTTTGGCGTTGCCCACTACAGTCTTTTCCCAAAGGAGCACAGAACAGGTGTGCTTTTTCCCTGAGCGTCGCAGTGGACCAACCTGCCACTCGCTAAGGCCATGGCATTGTCACAAAGGGACACCCAGGTCTTGACATCTCGGCGGGATGATGGAAACCCAGGAATACCAGAATCAGCAGGCACTCAGGGCACACTCCCCACAGGGGGAGAGAGTGATGCTCTGCAGTGTCTCATACACATCTGGAGCAAGGACCTATGTCCACTCTTCCTCATGGATCCACTCACTCACTGACTTAATAAGAGCATCCGTGGGAGCTCACGTTGATTGCCCAGTAAGAGAAGGGAGCTGCCTACTGAGACACGTAGAGACTACTGAAACCAGGCATGAGGACATGCCCACGCATGCACAGTGAAAAGGTACCTCACAGGCCTGCAAACCTGTGAGCCAGGGAAGGAAACACCCTACTGGCCTCTGAGGCCCAAACATCACGTTACATCCCCAGTTACTTCAGGTGAGGTATGGGAGTTTGTGATTCCTATTCGGAGAGCAAAAAGGTAGCCCACAAGTTGTGTTTAGACCAGGTGGAGGCAAGAACAAACGTTCCCACTGGGGGTGATTAGAGCCAAGCCAACAAGCAGTCCTCATGGCGCCATGAGCGTGGCCGTTGCCAAATGGCGCATTCAAAATGAGCGTCAGAAATGCAGGCTTGCTTCTCCTTGGGCCTGAAGCACAGCAGACAGAAGCAGGCTCTCAGGTGAGAACCAAACTCTTGGGCACAGCTGAGAAATTCATAGACCAGTAACATACACTAAAGGGAAAAGAAGAACATTTATTTTTTTTAAAGATGCTCAGGGATTGGTGAGATGGCTCAGTGGAGGAGGGGGAGTGTGTGCTTTGTAAACACAAGGGTATGAATTTAATCCCCAGAATCCATCTTTAAAAAAAATAAAATAAAACAGGTACGGCAGCATGGGCTTGTTGTCCTAGCAGTAGGGACAAGTAGACAGGTTGAAGCTGGCCTTTCAACCTCTCCTTTTCGTGGAGCTGTAATTTGTTGACATCCTGTCTCAAAAAACAAAATGGTTAGCATCTGGAGAGTAATGCCCAGGGTAGTCCCCTGGCTTTTACATGCACAGTATAGGTGCGCTGAAACATTTTAAAGTCACTTTCTCTGAAGTCTGGAGACAGACTGTGCATAGTGTCTACCTTTGATAGTGTGAAGACAGATAGAGGTTACAGCCTGGCTCCCTGTGATACCAGGATCCAGGTAAACAGTGCTCCAACAAAGTCCACTCAATGCCTCTTAGAGCAAGGCCGCCAGTGTCCACAGGGTTACTAATAACTGCATCTGCTCTTCCCACTGACTGCTTGGTTCCTTGGTGCTCAGCCCAGGAGAATGTCTTTATGGGTAGGTAGTTCTTGACAGGAGAGAGAGAAAAGTGCTGTGGACTTGTCTGGTCTCCCTGACACAGAGTTTTGCCTCAGCAGGAGATGGCAACTTCATCTATTCCCAAGCTGATGAAAATCAGAAGGGCAAAGTGGCCCGCCTGGTGAGCCCCGTGGTCTATTCCCAGAGCTCTGCCCACTGCATGACCTTCTGGTATCACATGTCTGGCTCTCATGTCGGTACCCTGAGGGTCAAACTGCGCTACCAGAAGCCAGAGGAGTATGATCAGCTGGTCTGGATGGTGGTCGGACACCAAGGAGACCACTGGAAAGAAGGACGTGTCTTGCTGCACAAATCTCTGAAACTATATCAGGTACGAACCCTCCACAAAGGGAGGATTGGGGCTTTGGGACAGTGGGGTGTGTGGAATGCTTTCCCACCCTGAACTGTTGCCTCTGTGACGTTTTTCTTGGTGACATGTCTCACTGTCTCTTAGATGACAGCAGGGAAAAGGAAAAAAATCTCCATTATAATTCATTCTGAGATATCACAGATACCATGTCTTTCATTTAAATCTTTTCTTCCTTTATGAAAAATGAATGTGAAGAGAGATTTGAATCATCTCTGCCACGGATAGGGAAGAAAGAATGACTCTCCTGTGTCTATATGCAATCTTGTGAGTTTAACTCACGTGAAGTCTCATGAACTTGAGTCGAAGTTTTGACTGAGAGAGTGTTTGCAAATCTTGATGTTGAAGACAGGGCTTTAAAATACTGTGAAAACCATTTCATTTTTTCAGGTGATCTTTGAAGGTGAAATCGGGAAAGGAAACCTGGGTGGGATCGCTGTGGATGACATCAGTATTAACAACCACATTTCTCAGGAGGACTGTGCAAGTAAGGATGGGTTTGGGGTGGGAACGAACGATGCCCTTTGCCCTGGCAGGATTATTAGCATGTGGCAGTTTTGCCTTGTCATTTAGACCAGAAGTCAAATGCAGACAGGGTGTAAAGTGGGTCAGTTTATCTTCACTTAGTTCCTCCTCCAACCTAGTCACTTAGAAAGTCTGATTGACACCTCCAGAATCCAAAGACTGCAGCTTAGAAGTCATATCTGGCATATGGAAACATTTTGATAGAGAATAGAACACACAGACATCTGGACATTCCCATATCTGAGTGTGGAAACAAAGCCGTGGGCCTTCAAACATGTTGATAACAGAGAATTTAATTAAGATTACATTGTCAATGAGTCAGAGACACCATCATTTGCCTCTGTATTCTAAATAAGTAGATGCTTCTGGCTCTGCCACTAGCTGATGTGACTTGGCAGGTAATGGCGATTCAGAGATCTACCTAACAGAGTTGATCATGACGGCCTTGTGCTGTCCACAGATGAAAATTGGACTTAGAAAGCCAATTCATATTCCCCGGTTCTTGATCCATAATTACAAATAGCATCACTAATGACAATGTAATAGCACAGTAATTAGTCTTAAGCCCCATTTGCTACACTGAAACTTTTGTTATATATCATTACATAATAGGCTGTTAATTATAACAGAAGGAAATAAGCCTGCTGGGCAAATTGAAGACAAAGGAGGCCTGTTGGTTACAGTGGGTTTTTGGCCATTTCAACAACTTAAAAGTCTTTTATTATGTAATACATTGACTATGTGTAATCCTTAAAGGGACAATAATTGGATACCATTTGTTGAAGAAAGTGAAAAAAAGAAAGACAGTGACTAATGGTCTGCTTCTTCGTTCTACATAAGGAAACCTCTTCAACGCCACCCTATCCAACAGACAATACGGCTTACTAGTTCAGCTGACGTTGTTTTTGCAAATTACTCATTTCTATGGCTACCTGGCAATTCAAATGTGTATTTCATATAGTTAACACAGTATGTGTAATAATGTATTCCTCCCCCAAGTTGAGACTAAGAAGGGGATGTTCCAAGGATAGAAGAGCAAATTCCATGAATGAAAACAAAGCAATAAACTCAGTTCAGGCCAATAAGTTCTAACTGGCTGTGTGCTATATGCAAAGCAATGTGCCACGTGGTACAGTGAATTAGATGGACTCGGGTTTTGTGAGTTTTTTCTTTTAATGGCTTTTGCCTACTTAGGTAGACCAATAAAGAGTGGTCTGAAAGGGCTGGTTGAGACAGCAAGCTGAAGACCTGAGCTGGGATCCCTAGTACCCAGGCACAGATGTGTACTAACACATCTGTAATCTCAGCTTTGGGTAGGCAGAGATAGGTAGATCTCTGGAGCACATGGGCCAGCCAATCTACCTGAATCAGTGAACTCCAGGCTTGATGAAAGATCCTGTCTCCAAAACTTAGATGAAAAGAAATTGAGAAATGACACTTGATGTCAACCTCTGGTCTTCACATGCATATGTGTGTGATTATATAATTACTCACAACCATCTAGTCATAGAGGCTATGAGTACTAACTACATATGAACCATTCATTTGAACAAATTTACTAAAGTGTTTATTATGTATTCTACAAGATTTTAAATTCAGGGATATAGCAGAGCACTCAGGACTGTACCCAATCCCGAGGCTCCACTTTTTCCATAGAATTTTATTTTATTTATTTCTGATAAGGTACAGGAAGAAGTTTCCTGGCTCAAAGAAGCACTGGGCTATTTCCAAAGCCAGTTCAGTGCACAGTTCAGTAGGAGGCAGCAACCAGCATGCTACAGCCTCGTAGTGATGAGTCCATTCGCGTTGGTGTTTCTCATCTTCATCAGCCTTCCACAGTCCACATGCCAAAACCCATCCCTCTTCCCTTCACAGCATCTTAACAGCATTTCTGAGTCCTGTAAAGGGACACTGTGCAATCTGAACTACTATGGAAGGCCAGCAGAGGGGTTGGAGGGTTTCCGTGCAGTTTGGGTGAATCATATCTGTTTTATTTTATTGGCGGTTTCAACATCTCTTTCCATTCTCTTTGCCTTGTCAGAACCAACAGACCTAGATAAAAAGAACACAGAAATTAAAATTGATGAAACAGGTAAATTCATCTTACTGCTCAGCCTCTATTTTAATTTCCTATGGTTTTTGTTGTTTGTAAATAAGCATCTCTGAAATCCTCATACACAAGTGTATCCAGGCAGTTCAGATAAAATAAGTCCCTGTGCCTGAGTGGGTGTGGATTGGATCCTTGTCACAAAGTGCTGTATGTCCTTAGCTGCCTGGGGGACTTGGGAGGGACACTGTGAGGTGGCACTCTCAGGAGTAAGAATACCCAACCCCTCCCTGCCTGAGATTTTTTCACTGAAACACAATCACAAAATTATGGAGACTATTCATGTCATCATTTGAAGACAACAAATCCTTATGTTTCCTCGCCTCCCAGGTGGAATCTTGAGGAGGGCAGAAACCTAGCTTCTCTGGGATCTGGTCCTGTTTCCTGTCACCCTACAGTCTGGGGGTGACGTTGACGATGGGACTTACTTAGGGACTGCTTTACACGCCAAGCAGTAAAGGCCCGTGTTCCACAGGGCACGTTTTCTCCCGTTTGACAGACATCAGGACTGAAACAAAAGTAGCCGAGCTCATCAGGGGTAGCCTTGGGTGTTTGATCAACTGTAAAATGTGTGGTTTGGGTTAGTACTTCCGTGGTGCTCAGATGTAAGGCGCGGCGGTATCAGGGCTAGGTCCTGGAAGCTTCCAAACCACCTGGCCAGCACTGCTCAGAGCTGGCAGGGACAGTGAGGCACCATTGTCATCTATTGCCTTTGGGAACGTGGTCCTACCGTACGAACGGCCAGCACAAGCTGTCAGAAACAACAGACACAGCCCTGTGATGTTGGAAATATTAGCACATCGCTGAGTCCACACAGCTGTAAACTTTATTAGAAGTTGTTTCAAAACAATCTTTCATCAAGGGAGAGAGTATTAATATGCCCCCAAGGCTTGTTTTCCCTTGTTTAGGGACTCCCATCTCATATTTTTAGTTCTCGCTGATTGGAATCTCAGTTGATCAGAGCACCATTAAGTAAACACCACACAAGCTGCCCATTAGCATTTCAGGCCTGCTCCTAGCACCAGGTAATTAGGCTCAAAGCTCCCATGCTAATAACGTCTCACGTTCCACTCTACAGCAAACACATCCCTAGTGACTCCTTTGCAGAGCAGCGTGACCATCTCCAGCAACACAGCCAGGGTGGTGAAGACGCTATTAAATGTCTTCCTTTGGCACAGCAACAGACACTGTTTCTTAATCGGTGCCACTGTCCTTTCTGCATGATAGGAGTAGGCATTAGTTTATTCAGGAAAAAATGTCTTTCTTGCAGTATTACTAGATAGTTTGGGGTTTAAGGGTGTTCATGGCTTTCTGTGTAAAAACCCACAGGGACACTAGGAACAGCATCTGGGCCTGCCTGGGAGGTCAGGTAGGATACAGGAGAATGTTTTAGATCCACCCGCCGAACATAGTAAACAACTGTATGGCCAAGATTTGACAAAACTTCATGCCTACTCACCGAAGGCTGGGGATGTAGCTCAACTGCTGGAATGCTTACCCAGCATGCACTAAGCTTTGGGCTTAATCACATATGTATTAGGCATAGTGGTGCATGTCTACTATCCCAACACCAAGGAAGTGGAGGCAGGAGGATTGGCAATGCAAGGTCATCTTCTGCTATATGTCAAGCTCAAGGCCAGCCTGGGCTTTCGAGACCCTGACTCATCATAACTAACCCTCTGGATGAGAACTATAAACATATCTGTCACTCTCGAGTGATATAAACTAGGTTGTGACCTCAGTGTCCACCTCCAAACCCCAGCACCCTCACCTCCCATCTCGCCACTCCTCCAGCATTGGAGCATGAAATGGCTCATAGGTCCCTCCCCTTTTTCCTGGTCTTCTGTCTACTCACATGTGGCCTCTCAGCATTCATGAGTCCACCTTGTCTCCTTCCTTAGGGAGCACCCCAGGATATGAAGGGGAAGATGATAGCGACAAGAACATCTCCAGGAAGCCAGGCAACGTGCTTAAGACCCTGGACCCCATCCTCATCACCATCATCGCCATGAGTGCCCTGGGGGTACTCCTGGGTGCCGTCTGTGGAGTTGTTCTGTATTGTGCCTGTTGGCACAATGGGATGTCGGAAAGAAACCTGTCTGCCCTGGAGAACTATAACTTTGAACTTGTGGATGGCGTGAAGTTGAAAAAAGACAAACTGAACCCACAGAGCAATTACTCAGAGGCATGAAGGCGTGGAGCTGGAGGGAGAACCGGAGGACTGAGGTGGGAGGACAGTGGAGGTGCGGGGACTCTGTTGCTCTGCTCTCACTGTAAGCTGGGAAGGGCGTCTGTGACGTCACGCCAGGCTTTTCTCAGGAGCTTCAATGAGCGTCACCTACAGACGCAAGCAGGTGACTGGTAACAACCGGAATCATGTACAGCCCGCTTTCTTGGTTTCGTTTGGATAACCAGAAGCCAGTTAAGACCAAGTGTGACTGACTTCATGGTTCATCCTCTTTGTCCTCTTTTTCCTCTCTCTCCTTACCCTGTGATGGAGTCTTCTCGGAAACTGCAAAATCCAAGATGCTGGCACCAGGCGTTGTTCAGTGGGCCCTTTTGATGGATACGTGACCTGTAGCCCAGTGCCCAGAGCATATCAGCATAACCACGTTTCAGGGGATGCCAACATCCACCTTTGCATCGCTACCCACAGCGAGCACAAGGGGGGGAAAAGAATTAGACTGTTTTGTCTGCAAAGTACTGTGGCCTCAGTACCCATATCGCGTGTCAGCTCTGTTTACCAAGCAATACCGACAGATTTTCTTGATGTTTTACAGTGTTGTACCGACTCTCGTGTTTGTGACCTCCATTCAGAATACCATACCATGCAGCCACCAAACTGCTGGCACCCAGGTGTCCCGCTGACGACCACCACAAGTCTTCGGCACTGGCTAGTCTTCGTCCTCTCAAGTGCCTTTTTGTTTGTACTGGTTCCTTGTGTCCCGTGGATGACCCACTCTGTTTCTGGTGAAAACCCTTCTCTTCAATCAGACCTGGTGGCCCACTGACTAAGAAGAAAGTATATTTTAGCATGCTACGCCAACCCCGGGAAGGCAAGGGCTCTGAAGACCTGGCAGCGTGGCTTACTCATTCTGCTTTTTTCTGAAGTTCAATGTCATGTCTCTTGACCCTTTGTATAAAGCTGCAACGTTCTCTCTCACTGTTCTTTCCAATGGAATGTATTTTCAGATGTAAACTCTTGGCTCTTTCTCTCCTCCCTCCGTCCTTTCTTCCTCTCTTAGAATCGAAGCATTTGCCACTGTCCAGAATGAACCTTGCAGCTTTAACCTGCTGGCGATGGCGAACAATTTTACTAGACTTTATGTTTTAAGATAATTAAGTAAGGGGAATTCCTAACTTTGTCCCCCAAAGTCTAACTTTGGGTTTCTTGTTAACTGGTTAAAGTGACAGTATCTTTTTTCCTGAAGCCATGTGCCCGTCCATTCTGATTAGATTGATATTTGACAGGAATATTTTCGCCTCACGGAAGTCTTAAGTTGAAAGAGAAAAGAATACAAACTGGCCTCCAGATGAGCCCCACAGGAAACACTGAATAAAGTCCCCGAGTCTAAAAGGACGTGACAATTTTACATCCAAATATACAAATGACCTGAGAACCTTCCAGCTTTGTTGTTGGGTCGGAGGAGGGGAGTGAAAGGAACAGCTCATTTAAGAAATAAACAAGAAACCTGGTGCCTGAGGCAAGGCTATTTTAAGACCAGGCAGAAGGGGTGCATAAAGTCAAAACAATAGCCATTCAGCAGAAACCCTGAAAAAAAATAAATTTTAATGAATGCTTTTAGAAACTTCCCAATGGCTCATAAAGAGAAAAGGCTTACCTTAGAGCTGGCAAGGCGTACCCCTCCACAGCACAAAGAGGTAGATATCTTAACCAAAAGCAGCTTCCAGCTGGTGGACTCTGTCTTGCTGAGCTGTATGTAAGAACTCTGGCCTCGACCTTCCGCGTGTGGCTACAGGTCTCAGTTATGTTTCTTGGAGATCATGTTTGCTTCCTGGACGAAGGGTCCATTCACCTTGGTTTAATGGGATTGCGAATGTCTTTTTTCCAGGAAAGTATTGATCACTTTAAAAAAAAATTTAAAAGACTATGTTTCCATTCCCAGGGGCATCTAGTCCCTTGTTACAATCATACTGGGAGGAAAGCATTAAGTGAGAGTTTGTTTCTAAGGCAACAGACTCGACCCCTGTCCTCAGCCAAGGAAAAATGATACTGCAACTTTAAATTTTAAAGTACCTTGCACTGATAAATATATTTAAAAGTTATATGTTTATAAAGTTATTAATTTGTAAAGGCAGTGTTACAAAATGTTCAGTTTATATTGTTTTAGATTGTTTCGTAATTTTTAAAGGTGTAAAATAACATATTTTTTCTTTATTGAAATCTATAAGACTTTCTGTAGTAAGATGTCTCATTTTCTGGTATATTATTGCTTCATGTTTTGTACCCTCATAAAATTTTGTGCAAATTTTTTTTACAGAAATTTTTATTTTCTATGATGATATGTATGACACTTGTAAATTGTTGTTTCAAAATGAACAGCGAAGCCTTAACTTGAAATGACATTTGTATTCTCTGAGTAGCATAAAAAACCACCTAGAATGAACTGTAACTTAAGCTCCAAACTACACATTCCAAAGAAGCAGTTGAATTAAACATTTTCATAGAAATCCCAAACCTGATGGCTGTTATTCCATTAGCTCTGTTCTTGTTAAAGATGTTGGGGGTCAGCCCAATGTCCAGTACCTTCCAAGATTGAAGTTATCTTTTCGAAAAAATCTCGTATTGGGAGAGAGCAAGCAGACCCCTCCTTCCAAGAGCAAGAATCTGAAACCAGGGGTGAGCAAGGCAGAATTGGCCTCTAAGTGGACATTTTTTTTCTCACCCAAATTATATTGGTTTGTACATCCACGTGGTGAAGTTGGTTTTATGATACTAACAGATTACTGTTGGTGACTCTTGCTTCTGTAGGAAACAGGTAAATTTACATACTGATTATATACTAAATTTAGGGAAAGGGGAAAACTGAGTATATATAGTGTTACAACTGTCTTTTTAGTAAGCCTCGGGGAAATGCCCATTTCTTTGGGGACCAAAGCAATAGGAAAGAAATGACTGATACACACCCAAGAAAGGACAAAAAAAAAAAAGTATTGAGTCAAAACACGTTAAATAGATCCTTTAAAAAGGTTGTCACAGCTGGGTGTTGGTGCTGCACGCCTTTAACCCCAGCACTTGGGAGGCAGAGGCAGGTGGATCTCTGTGAGTTCGAGGCCAGCCTGGGCTACCAAGTGAGTTCCAAGAAAGGCGCAAAGCTACACAGAGAAACCCTGTCTCGAAAAACCATTAAAAAAAAAAAAAAGCTTATCACAGCAGAGCAGGCAGACCCCAAGCCCCACTCTGCAGGAGAGGGGTTACTTCTTTGCCTACCTCCAGGAGTAGAAAAGCTCAGTCCAGAGAGCACTGGGACATGGGGTCTCACCACTGCTGCTGCTGCTGCTGCTCTGGGCAGAGAGTCAAGTTTCTCCACTTCCTGCTTTCCTGGATCCTGAAACCATCTCCTAGGACTTATCCAAGAATACAGAAAGCTTCCTACTGTGTGTGTTTTTAGGTCTTTGCCTAGGAAGGAGATAAAACCATACTCATTTTACTAAGGTTAAATTCTACTGACATCCAGGAACAGTTCCAGAAAACATGATGCGTGCAAGCAAACTGTTTAGCAGAATGCATCTGGATATAGTTTATTTATTTTACTTTTTTTGTTTGGTTGTTTGGGCTTTTTTGTTCTGTTTTGGTTTTGAGGTAGGGGCTCATGTAGTCCAGGCTAGCCTCACACTCACTATGTAGCCTTGAACTTCTGATCCTCCTGCCTCTACCTCTGGGGTGATGAGAGGTGTATGCCAAATTTATACGGGGCTAAAGATGGAACACAGGACTCCATGCATGCTTGGCAAGCACTCTGCCAACTGAGTCGAAGCCCCAGCCCCCTAGACATAGTTTCAGAGCCACGCAAGGACCATAGGCTTACCGTCTCTATGTTCTCTGAGGCTTTCAACGTGGCAGCTTCTCGCTTCTTTCTTCTCCCTGGTTGATAGTTTAGCTAAGCATTTCTTTTTGTTTAATCTGATAAATCATTGTCTAATACTTCCCAAATCTATGGATTAAAATGTCACGAGGATTGAAACATTTAATCTAAACATGAAAATGATTTACTGTCCTGTTTCCTGTGTGTCCCGATAACTTTCCTGCCGCTGGGGCTGAACACACTATCTGTGCAAATCAAAGACGTTGTCTAATGTCTCCATTCTGTGCTTCAGCTTTGTGGTTCATTAAAAAGCAGTTCTGTCAAGACTTAGCTTTTGTTTCTCCTAAACTATATGTCCTAAGGAATCTCAAGCAAGTCAGCAACTGAGAACCCTGAATGGAAGCGCCCTCAAAAGGAGTCAAACTTGGCATCAGGAGGCATGTGTGCCCAGGAGGCTTTCTCCCCACCCAGTAACACATATGAGAACATGGAACCAACCGCCCCAAGAGAGGATCTGCTCCTGCACGGAAAGAATGAAGGAACTTCCCGGGACACAGGTTCCTTTTTATTGAGAACACTAGGCGTTTTTATTTTTTTAAGGCAAGGTCTCACAGATCCCTGACTGGCTCTGAACTGGCTATGTAACCAAGGATGACAATGAACTTCTGATCTTCCTCTACCTTCCCAGTGGTCCAAGCCCCAGCCCTAGCAGTGTCCGTTTCTATAGCATCATTATAATATCAAGTTTTAACGGTCTCCTTATTTCCTCTTACAAATGAGAACCCCAAGGTTCAGAGAGGTCACAGGGTACATGCAGATGCATTGGGTCTTACTTCCCTCCATGACTCCTATTGCTTCCTCTCAGGGCACTGTCTGCCAGAGCCTTCACAAATGGCCCTGCTACTAACAGCCTGTGTGGGAGATGAGAGCTGCCGCTTAGATTTTATGTTTAGTGGCAGATGATAATTAGGCATATTTTGGAGACATGATGTGATATTTGAATACACATTACGTTGTGTAATGATCCAGTCAGGGTGTTCACAAGATGTTTGGTGACCTGCGCCCACCCATGTTACTCCGTCACCCCATTGAGCCATTTGTCTTGGCATTTCAAGTTCTGGTCACTTCTAAACCTTCAAAACTAAGGGATGGCATTCCCGCGGGGTTTGTAAACACTCCAAACTGAGCACAAAGCAGCCAAGAAAATCAGTGCGTTCAAAACCTCACTCAGAGCTGAGCATGGTGCCTCATAGCTGTAATCCCAGCGCTTGAGAGCGGAGTCCAGATCAGTCCTCAGCTATACAGTGACTTCAAGGCCAGGCTGGACTACAGGAGACCCTGCCTAAATGAATAAACAAACAAGCAAATGAAATCTGAGCTCTGCGGCCATTTTGCCACCATAACCTGTGAGGAGCCTAAATGTGGTGATTTCAAGGGAAAGAGTATGTATGCTGTTGGCTTAAAGAGTTTGAAGCAATACAGACGTGTAACAAATCCGGGCACTCTTCAGAGCTCATCCAGTGAGGCAAGGACACCGAGTTTGGAAGAGTCGGTTCCTCCACTCCAGGTAGCTTTTAGGTCATACGCAGCAACTGAGTTCTAAAGATGTTAAAGCCCTAAATGGTAAAATTAGACGGTCTCTTAATGTTTCCTTCATGATTTCTAATTTCGTTGTATAAGGTCTTTCTTACAAGTAGATAAGGTTATAGAGTTTTATGGTCAAATAGGGGTGCCCCAAAATTAGTTTTTGGTTTTGGTTTTTTCCATGGAAAGAGGGTGTCTAGCCAGGACTGGTGGCACACACTTATAATCCCAGGAAGGGGGAGGTGGAGGTAAGAGGATCAGGACTTCAAGGTCATCCTTGGCTACCAACAAGCTCAAGGTCAACCTGGGATATAGGACACCGTGTTTCAAAAACCCAAAATAAGGTCTCATCTCCACATGGTAGCGAAATGGTACCGGGAATGATGGGTAAAGCAGCCGGCGGTACCTCATTTCCTCTGGGTTGGGAACAAACACACACTGCCTTCTGGCAGCTTCAACAAGAAAAAGAATTGCCAGGACAGACAGCGGGTTCCCCTCTCCTTAGGCCCCTTCCAGTGCCTTGGCATCTCACCTCCTCATTTGGACCAGAGCCAACACACCCCTTTTCCTGAGGTCTCATCACCGCATCAGAGGTGTGAGGTGAAGGGCTGCTAGTCGTGAGGTGATCCTGCTGGGAAACCACCCATCCCCTGTGAGGCCTCAGGGCTCCGGTTCTACCAACCCTGGAAGCTTCTCATTGTTGACTAAATTATGTCTTAACGACACAGGCATGATTTATTTGAAGGGGACTCGGTCACTCTCCTCAGATCTCTTGGAATTCTGCCATAACATAACTCAAACTTTCCACCTAAAAGGAACTTACTTTTAGGGTCTTAAATATAACTTTCCTTTATCCAATTCTCAATTTTATCTATATTTAAACTGGGCTGGGGCTGTACTTTAGTTGACACATTGTTTCTCGAGCACCCATTGAAGCCCCCAACTCAATCCTGAGAAGTGAAAAATAAAGATGTCACGGGACACCCCTGTAATCCCAACACTCAAGATGTAAAAATTGGAGGATCAGAAGTTCAAGGTCACCTCAGCAACATGGTGAGCTCAAACCCAACCTGGAGTAAATGAGAGGGCCCTGTCTCAAAAATCTTTGGGGAGGCTTGATCCCCTTACATCAGCTCAGAGGTGGGGGTTTGAGATGTAGCTGAATCAGGAAGGCTATGATCCCAAGAATGGATACATCTGTTTTTGAATTTAGAGCCTAATGGGTTAGTGGGAAGTAGTTAGAAGACATGTCACTGAGGCTGTGTCATTGAAGGCTACATTTTGCCCCTTGGTCCCTTTCCTTCTTATTCCTGGTCACTACAAGGGGATCAGCTCAGTTCCGCCACATGCTCCCTACTCTGATGTTCTGCTTAGCTACAGACTCACGGTAATGGCACCAAAAGACCGTAAGCTTGATATCATGAGTCAAAACAAGTATTTGGTCCTTATAAGTCGATTGTCTCAGGTATATTGCCGGAGCAACAGAAAGCTGACTGATGCAGCTGTAAAGTCTGAAACTATTTGAGTGTCAATAAGTTAGAAAAGTACACAGCTGCCATCCTGCGATGGGTCACACCAAGCAGCATGCAGATATTGTATGACATTACTGTCATACTATGTCTATAATGTGTGTATAAAACACAAATGAATTCCATCTTATACTTTGGTCTCATCTTCAAGATATCTGTTCGTCAGATTGTTTCACTAATAAATACCTGATATGATCATCTTAAAAGAAGGAGAGTTCTGATGTGGTCCAGGGCTTCGGGGGTTTCTAACCACAGTAACTTTGCCCCGTTGCTGTGACCTGAGGAAGCACAGGACATCATAGCAGGAGCATGTGGCAGTAGAGCTCTGTCCACGTCAAGGCAGCCGGTGAAATCAGGGTCCCCACATCCTCTTCCAGAACAAGCCCTCTGGAACTTTAAAAGAGCCCAGTTAGTGAAGAGCTTGCCGTGCAAGACGGAGGACCTGAGTTCAAGTCCTGGAACATATGGGAAAAGCTGTGTGTGGTTGTGTGTACTTGTAATTCCTGCATTGGGAAGGTAGAGACAGGAAGGTCCCTGGTACTTGATGGCCAACTAGCCTTATCTGCAAGTTCTAGGCCAATGAGAGACTGTGTCTCAAAAAACCCAAAGTAGATGCTGTCTACAGAACAACAGCTTCGCTGGTCTCTGGACTCCACATGCATATATGCATGAATGTGTGTGAGGGAAGGGACACACACACACACACACACACACACACACACACACACACACACACACACACACAGTGGGGGGTAGACCCTCCCTGGCTACATCATACCCACAGTTACATGCACCAAAAGGAGAGCTTCGTTCTTCACGTGGAGAGGTAGGAAGCTACTGAGACAACTGTTGGGATGGAAGGAGGAGGGTGCCATGGGACTCTCTCAGTCTCGGGAGCCAATTTAAGCTCAATTTCTCCTACCCCAGAAATGTGCTACATCTCACCATTAGAGGGGAGACCTTGGTGAGGTCACGCTTTCCCATTTATTCCTAGAATAGTGGAATTCCCAAATGCCACCTTTAAATGTGACTACCCAGAATACTGAATACATTTCTCAACATGCATGTACACACACACACACACACACACACACACACACACACACACACACACACATCACTTCAGAAGGTGACTGTATCACTATGTTCTAGACCTATGACAAGTTAATAGTTAAAACTTAGGGTCATGGATATCACAATCGTTTTTGAGAGACTATCTCAAAAAAAAAAAAAAAAAAAAAAAAAAAAAAAAAAAAAACAGTAGATGGTGCCTGAAAACTGACATCTAACGTTGTCCTCTGTCATGCTGTCCCCACTTTCCCATTTGTTGTGACTGGTGTGGCTATGCAGTCAGAGCTGAGCATAGTACAGTGCTGAGAAAGCTCGTATCCTTAGACAGGAATACAGGAACCCCAACACTGCGGAGCAGCCAACGGGTTGGAGCTGCCACTGGAATGGAGCCCCCAAACCATACTGCTCATGTTCAAATAATTAGCAAGGAAAAAGTCAACTTCTGTGTCATCGAAATCACTACTATTATGTCTCTGGGCCCGACTCAAAATCACATCTGATACCTGAACGGCTACCAAGTGAAAGGCATTGTACGAAATCTTAGAAGAGAGGGCTGAGCCCAGGCAGTCTAACAAAGGCTTCCCATCATTGAAGATGCTGCACCCCCTGCCTTTCTCGATTCCTCACACTTCAAGTGAGATGACGGAGAAGGGAGTGGCCAACAAGCCCCTGTCCATTCAGGCAGGAGGCATCAGCAAACACAGAAACGTAAGAAAACAGCACAGTCAAGAAGAAGGAGGCATAGGACTGGAGAGCTGGCTCTGTGGTTCAGAGGACTTGCTGCTTGTGGTGGTTTGCATAAGAATGGCCCCCATGGGCTCATATATTTGAGTGCCTAGTCATCTCAGAGTGGCACTATTTGAAAAGGAGCAGAGGAGTAGGAGGTGTGGCCTTGTAGGAGGATGTGTGTCACTGGGGGTGGGCTTTGAGGTTTCAAAGGCCCCTGTCATGGGTTTTCCACACCAGGTCCAGTGTCTC